GTCAGCGCGTCTGTTCTTCTAGCAAAATCTGAGTGCTTGGCTGAGGCAAGAAAAATCTGGGGAGTTGAGTTTTCACTTACAGAGGGAATCTATTCAGTGAATACAGTGAAGGAGCTGAAGGAAGGGTTTTCTACAAAGAAGGTTAACTGACAATGGAAGGGGTTGAGAACAGGAGACTTTGTTTTATAAGTAAAAGGTTATAGTTTCAGTTCCTGGTGGTCTCAGAGTGGCAGATAAGCCAGCTTGGAGACTACGGAGAGCAGGTCAGGCTGGTGCGAGAGTAGGCGTTAGTAATGACTGGTGAAGAACTGAGAGGAGGGAAACAGTGGAGAGGAGTAGGTGAAGGAATTGTTGGAAGTAAGCGAAGGAACTGAGGGCCCAGGGTTTTGGATGGAGCATCCCTGTAGATTCAAATTCACCTAGAGTGATTAAAAAAAGAACAAGTGAGGAGAGGGAGCTCATTGTTAGCTTCCTGCAAATGATGTGTTCAAAACAAATGGTGAATGTTTAAATTTTAAAGATTCTATTACAGGAAAGAGACATTACTGTAAATCAGCCTCAGAATACTCACCCTTATTTGTCCTCTTTTGTGTCTTTACATAGTGCGATTAAAGAAAAAAAGGAAACGGTGAGTGCTGCTGCTCAGGGCCATCCAACAGAATGGCAGGCTTATAAGACTCTTACAGCGGGGCTGGGGATTTAGCTCAGCGGCAAAGCACCTGGCTGGCAAGCGCAAAGTCGTGAGTTCGGTTCCCGGTACCGGAGAAAAAAAAAAAAAAAAAAAAAAAAAAGACTCTTACAGCGAGTCCTCACACACCTCTTTCACCGGATCTGGCACCATGTAGCTTGGCTCCTCCCTAACGTCAAAATGACAAGGAAAGGCCAATGTTTTCAGCAATCAGGACTCTGAGGCAGCCATGACAGCACAACTAAAGACAGCAATGAAAGAAGATTCCCAGAATCACGACAGGAAGTGACAAGAACAGTGGGATATATGTGCTGAAGGCAAGGGGTGTGCTCTGAGGGGGATTAATGGTCATGTGTCTTTTACTGCAATAATCTTTGTAAAACGTAAACATCCACTGTATATTTCAATTACACTTGATATCTAGTCTATAAAAAACTTTTATATATTAAAATAATACTCTGTCAGTGAAGGCTAAGTATTGCACTTTTGCTACTCCTCTTCATTATAGATAAGCTGTTAGGAGCTTTACATTTTAAAATCAGATTGGCATTTTTGGATTTGGACAGTGCCTGATTTCTGAACATGACTGCACAGCAGAATGCCTGAGAGAACTGTTTGGTTTTGGACAGACGTCTGGTTCTGTCCATAGACAGTTTAATATTTAAGACGGGGCTAAGCCAGAGGACGCTCATTGTTCCAAGTTTTCCAGGTAATTCTGAATTTCATTGATGCTTTCTAACCACTAAATTGAACCATATACCAGCCTTGAATGGAAAAATCATTTTAGAACAAGTTATTTCATGTTTAGATTTAGTTAGACAAACTGAATTGATACTAGAGGAAGGAAATGGAGATAAAATTCAAAACTAGGAAATCTCAACTTGTTCTAGCAGTAGTTTTAATATAGCACGCTGCATTTCTTTTCATTTTTCTTCTTCTCAAACACGAATAAACAATTTTACAATACTTCAGTTCACACCACAGTGACAGTAATCTTTTCCGTAGTTACCTGGATTACGTTCTGGAGAAGCCGTGTAGTTGTCAATCTAAGCTTATGTTATTTGTTTTACATCTTTCAAATTCACTTGTTGTGTTACATTTGATTGGATTTTCCTCATATTTTTTCTCTAAATTTGTAAAGAACTTGTCCCCTTACCACTTTATGCCTCTATGGCATAGTTTCTAAGGAAGCTTTCTCTCTTCTCTAACCCCAAAGGACTGTGCTTCATTTATTTTTATGTTACCTACGTACAATGACTTACTATCATGGTTTGTGTCGAGATGTCCCCCAAAGCCTCATGCAGTCATGGGTGGGGGGGAGCTTCTAGAGTTTTTGATTGATCCATGGCCTAGTGCTGGGATTATGAGTGTGAGTGCTACACCCACCCTGGGGCAGGGAGCCTGCATACAGTATAAGGGAGAGAAAGAGGCTTGTTCACCACTCCCCCCTTTTTGCTCTTGCTATGTTTGCTGTTTTCTACCACTATGAATTGTTGCCCTCTGCCATTGCCACCCTGCTACCTTGGAGCCAGCCAAGTATGAACTGAAACCTCTACAAACTGTGAACTAAATAAACCTTTCCTCCCTTAATTTTGGGCATTGGGTATTTTGTCTCAGCAGCAAGAAAAAAGTAACCAAGACACTTACCAAGGTAGATAAACATTTGCTGAATGAGTGAACAAAAGTTTTGAAGTAAGAAGTAGTACAATAAACTATCCCTTCTCTGATCACTGTGTTACTAAATTTAAAGGTAGTTCTGGGAAGTTTAGTGGTCACATGCTGTGTAAATTCAAAAAATTTGAAAAATAATGTTCAGGGACTTAAAGTAAACTCATAAAGCATCAAATCAACAACAATTCATTTCTCCCAGCAAGTCCTCATAAGTTTAGGCCAAGAAATCTTGCTATTGATGATGCCACACTCAACTCTTTCCTTTAATTCTCACTGGATGCAAAACTGAAAGAGGTAGAAAGGGCCTAATACTCAGTTAATCTCTAGTTTAAGGCAGCAGAGGTTTGACTGTGTGCAAAGCACTCTGGCCCATACTGTTACAATCTGCCTTTTTGAGTGATCTAGCATCACTCTGGGTGTCGTTTAGTGACCACCAAATGCTATGAATCTAAGTGATAGAATACGATATTAACCAAGATGCCATCCCTAATATCAAGGAATTTGAGAACATAGGTGTGATAAGAAAAAGTAAACACACATGCGATACCAGTCGTGATAGAAGACATACACCATGTAGTGAGAACATGTAGCAGGGTCATTTGATGTGATGTTGGAAAGTCACAGACATCTCCCTGCAGAAGGCAGCATCTGAACTATGAGGTCAAGGATGAATCTGCGCAGTCGATTGCAATAGTGCAAGGGGGTGGCTGAGGCCAGCAAACGGCAGCTATAGAGGTGAGGAGTGAGGGGATGCAGGGAACGTTTGGAGGACCCCATGCACATCTGTGTGCTGGAGCCCAGACCCACATTATGATAGGGATTTTCTGCCACATGTGTGCGTGTAGACTTGACAATTTCTGAAGACTGGAGTTTGTGTAAGTGTTCGGGGTGGAACCTCCAATATCGTGATAGTACTTTGTCACAGAAACCTGAAATTAAAAGTCCCCTTATAATACTCTTTTTAGCAAATTGTAGCATGCACCAGGAAAAACTTGCCACAGATACAGAACAGTAGTCTGTGGATCTAGATTTAATTTTAATGATGTAACAAACTTGATGAAAAGGTTTTCAGAACCTACAAAGTAATCCATGTCACCTAGGTGTTAGATGCAGCGTGCACTTAGTTCTGTTTGTAGCCAAGCAAATGTAACCCAATATTATCAAAAAAAGAGGATACCGACAGCCTTATCTGCCCGAAGTTAAGGTCACTTTTTATTCTAGCAGCATAAAAGCCACTTGACAAGGCTGTAAATGTGTTCCCAAAACCTGTTTCAGAAGTTCTTCCCTAATGGCTTCTGTGAAACTCAGCTGAAGGGCTTTAATGGTACATTAAAGAAGGGCAGTGAAAATCTGGGAGCGGGAAGTGAGGGCTGTTACACACTGCGGCACTGCTCTCTGACAAGGAGAACTACTTATGGTAGTGCTCATTTCATGAGAACTTCGAATCTCTGTTTACTAACAAACTACTCCCTTCATTGGAGGACAGTGGTTTTGCTCTCCTCTATGGACTGTTTGTTTGCTTGTTTGTTTGTTTATGTACTGGAGATGGAACCCAAGGTCTTTGCACCAACCTCTATACCTATGCCTGTTTTTATGTTTGTGTTTTCATACAGGGTCTCACTAAGTTACCCAGGCAGTACTCTTAAATTCTCACCCTTCTGCCTCAGCCTCCAAAGTGCTAGGAATATAGGAATTTTTACTTTTATTTTATTATTTTTTCATTTTTAAAAACTGGTGTTATTTACAGGATATAATAAGATGTCTTGATAGGTGTGTACATGGTGAAATGAATACTGTCAAAAACATACCCAGCTTGACACATGATTACCTTGTTTCTCTTTATGGTGAGAGCACCTGAAATCTACCCTTTTAGCAAATTTCCGGTGTATAACATTATTAACTATGGTCCTTGGGCTGTACACCAGTACCTGCATGTTAGTCCCTTTACTGCAGGGATAATTATGAAGTGACTGGAGGCATTAAGCCATCATCCTAAAAGAATGCCAAATTTCTACAGGTTTTAAATATAATCACAATATAGACCACATTTCGGCATTTTATAGTCTTGAAAATTTGGCCGGGCATGGTGGCGCACGCCTGTATTCCCAGCACTCGGGAGGCACAGGCAGGAGGATCATTGTGAGTTCGAGACCAGCCTGGGCTACAAAGTGAGCTCAAGGCCAGCCTGAACTGCATAGCGAGACCTGTCTCAAAAAGACAAAAAAAAAAAAAAAGAAAATTTATAGGATCTATGTAACTTTGGGATTACACAGGAAAATGCAAATTAATATTGTCAATGCTACTTTATGGCAATTTAGATGACTCATATAATCTTATGGACCACTATTTACATGCTTAGATATAATGTGTTTCAGCAAATAATCAGAGTTTTGGAACAGAGAGACGCATGTCTTCCATTTACTAACTCCATGACCTTGGGAAGAATCTCAGTCTTCTGATCCGCAAGTTGGGAATAAACTGTCTCATAGGCTCACTGTGAGAAGTGAGATTGTGAGAAGAGCTAGTACATTGTTTAGACACTAATTAATGCTCTTGAGAATTTTAGCCTTTATCCTTTAGCTGTGTGTGTGTTTTTTTTTTTTTATTATGGACAACTTTCTCTTTTTTTTTATTCCTCCAGGGATATGAAGCCTGACAATATTTTACTTGATGAACATGGTGAGTAAATGATTTGTTTGCAGTTAACTACATGACATGAATGTAGAACAAGCTACTGTCTCCATCAAAGTATTACACATGAAAAAAGTTGATTAGTTGAGTTGTATGTATAAACTCTATCTTAATGGTAGGAGGAACTATATGGGGAAACTTCATACTTATAGCAGTTGCATAGGACAAAAATACACTCTTAAACAGCACTGAATGTATATGATGAGAAGGTCATTCTCTACCTAATTTTCTTCCACTAGCACTTCTCTTTAAAAAAACCATCAGAGTGGTTTGATAGTTTGCCTTAATATCTTATATTACATAATCCCTTCTTTTGCCCCATAAAGACAGAGCAGGTCTTAATATTACAGTATTAGGTAGATAATAGTATCCACCAAAGTAGTGATGTTATTTTGTTATTGCATTTACTTTTATACTTTTCTTCTTATGAAGGCAAACTGCTTTTATATTCACAGAAGAGATATCAAATCTTCTGTTAAAAATTTTAGCTAAATCATTGACTTTAAAGAAAAATATGCAGTAAATAAAAGTAGTCTGTGTGGTGCCTTGATATAAAATCGATACACAGATAATGGCAATAATCATGAAGTGGTAAAGGAATGCCTTAGGTTTAAGAAACCCTGATCAGATATCCTCCGGAGCAAGCCTGTTCTCAAATGATTAAATACACATAGTCCCTCCTGGTAGCTAGCTTCGGTGTGCAGATTGATTCACAGGGGCTGCATCAGGTAGCATCCACTGCCTGCACGTTACAAATGTTACAGTGACGCCAAGATCCTTGTCCTGTATTCAGAGAGCTGCTCGGTGAGAATTCTACATCTGCCCCTTTCCTTAATCGTTCCATTTTTACAATGAAGATTGCAAATGTGAGTGAAACTCCAAGTCCCAACCATTGCTTATCATTTATTTACCTCCCTGAATTTTAAACCTGACCTGTCAGTCCCTGCCTGTGCTGAGGGCTGAGAAACACTTTCGTGTATGACCTCTAATCTCAAAGCTCAGGGTCATTCTTTATTTATGGACTGTCTAAAAAGATTTCTTCCACTTTCTTCTAATGACTTATTTCTTCCTTACCTGTACTGCTTCTGACATTTGCGCACAGATTTCTGAATCTCAGGAATGTAAGCAGTGGTGAGACTTACTGTGAAGGTGACTTTCACGAAAACACCAGCTATTCCTGTCTTAAGTAGAAGGCAGGATTCTCTCCTGCTCAGCTTTAAATAAACTCTATGAAGCTTTAAACTTGTGGAGAAGTGGCCTGCAGAAGCCAACTAAGAAGAAAAAGTGCTTATTTTGCAACTAAGGAGAGAAGTGTTCTGTGCCTAGGGCAGAACTTTCTGACAGTACATGGTTGCTCAAGAAGAAGCAGGTTGGTGTTTAGTCCTCACCTGACCTCTTGGCCAGCTGCCTCTGGCCATGGCACCTGTTGCTCATGTGTACAGACCCTGAGTAGAGCCATATAGACCATGTCAAGCTAAACCTTTTCAATATTTATCTTCCATTTCAAAAACAGTGTTTTAGTCCCGGGTCTGAGACATGTTTCATCTTTCCTCTACCATGAGGGCATCGTATTCTCCTTCACCCAGCTCCTTTCTCATTATTTCTTGGCAACTAGCTGATTGTAGATGAGGAAAAGCGTGAAGAAGTTGATGACTCTTCAGATGGAACTACACTTAGACACTACCCTGAAAGTGAAACCCTGAGTAGTAGTGTATTTCTGGCCATGGATTCTAGAGCCATTTTAGTTTAGTTCAAAACCCAATTCACCCGTACACTAGCTCTGAAAGTTTCAGTGAGTTTTCTGAATGTTCTCTGTGTCTCAGTTTTTTCAGGGATCAAAAAGATACTTTCTTCTTAGGGTCACTGTAAGGAATGACTTACATAATAGTTATAAACTGCTTGATGCAATGTCAGCCACAAAGTAATCAGTCACTATGGTCCCCAGAGGTAGTAGCTTCTTTCTGCCCTGATGAGGGAAACTTGGACTACTTGTTTCATTGTGTCTTTGTCTAAGCTAACATGTATCTATGTCAGATAGTCTATGAAAGCTGGATCCTTACTTACGTTTCCCAAATAATTATTTCAGTTCCAGAAGAGACATACCATATGCTTGTCTACTTGTTTTTTTAAAAACCTTTTGTCTTTAATCTCTTTAACCCTGGCATCTAATAAGTTACAACAAATAACATCCTACTGAGGACTAATATATCAATATATTCCTCAAAAAATGAGCTTCAGTAGAAAATATTCAATCCAAAACCACTTAAACAAATACTGTACATGTGTGTTAGACAAAAATCCACAGTGGAATCAAAGCTTCCAACATCCATATTGCTCTGTGATTTTTACCATGTTATCTATCTGTTAAATGTGGTTATCAATACTGAAAAAGACCTAAGGAATTAAATTTAAAAATTCATATAACAGATCTACTGTATGGTTTGGTACCATGTAGGTTCATAGAGGACTAAGATTTCCTGTTTTCCTAGAAGTACCCCTTGGGAAATGCTTAGATTTCTTAAAGCAAAGATCTTGTCTCATATTTCCTCCTTGCCCCTGGTTCCCTGATGGCCATTTCTACCAAGCTAAATATTTACTCCTTATCAATCAGCCTGTTACAATTTTTTTTTGTATTTTTGAAGTAAAGATTCTAAACTTCACGGATAAGGCAAAAGTGGAATAATTTGAGAAATTCACCTTGATGGATGTTGGTGCCATACAATGAAAGAAACACTACCTGCCAGGGGAAAAACACCATCACATCTGTCTTTCACTGGCAGCATTTACACTTATTGAAGAAGCACCTCGAAGAGGGCATGGACCACCACATAAACAGCATTGTTATATATTGCAGCTCCCACCCTTCATGGTCATGCCAAATGATTCAGAGTTAAGCATGACAAAGAGGTATTAGGTATACAGTTCTTCACTGTTCAATCAGATTCAGAGCATGAACAATGCAAATTATTGAATGAGTAAGTAGTGAGATATGTGTGTTCTGGGTATTTGAAAAGGTTAGCCGCCTGGACAAAATTTTTGAAGTCTGAAATCTCCTCACGATAGTTTCAAAAAATGAGAGTCCCATGGTATGAGTCAAGTATAAAATTTTTCCCAGCCACGTCAGCATGCCACTGTGAATTTGTGATCCAGACTCTCCATGTGGTTAAATATGGCTGAACAGCATAATTTACATCATTTAGACCATCATCATCATAGTAAATTATAACCATAATTACCAGTGATGTTTCCCCAGTCAGGGTAATATGTCGATGTGTTCTTGCAGAATATGATGCATTTTCACAAATGTTACAAAGACTGTGTTCCTGGCCATGTCTGCTTGCACATCTGAGAGAAATTGATGATTTTTATGGCTTTCTATAATGACAAGTCTTACCGAAGGTACAGTTGAAATGAAACATCAAAGAAGCCATGCAAAGGGCCAGTGATGTTTCCTTGTAGGCCACCTGATAGGAAGGAAACTGGGCATTTTCTTTCCATATATGAGCTTAGGAATCAAATGTGACCTGTGGAAGTTTGTAGAGTTCCAGCCCTGTTCCTACTGGAGCAGAAGTAGCCCGTGATGATTCTGTTGATACTGCTACAGACTTGCTTTCTCCCAAGCATGTATAATTGGTGAATCTTATCCTGTTTTATGAGTGAAAAAAGGAAATTCTTCAGTATTCTCCAATGACTAGGTAGGAACTTATGGAACTCATATTTTAGAGATGTTAGGGGGCAGAGGCCAGGAGGTTGGTGACATGAGTAGAAAACTTCACTCTGCACTGCCAGACTGGGAGAATCCAGACAGCAATGTTACTTAACTCTTGATCTTTTAATAACTTCACTCTCAGTGGCCTATTCTGCTTTACTTCATATGTAGAGGGGGCTAAAGTTACTGTTTATGGCATTTTTATTCCTGCTGGGGCTGGGCTCATTTGTTTAAGAAGGGTGAACTCTCAGCCTATTTGAGAGACAATTCTAGTCTACTTCTGTTACCTGGTATATTATTTACAGTCACCCCTTCCACTTTCAAGTTCTTAGCTTGAACAATGGACTCAAAGGAGGATTTTATGTCTTATGTTCCCTTCCTGAACTAACTTTGACAATTATTTCTGTTTATAAAAGAAAAATGCCTTGGGAGGATTATGTATGAATAGGATAGAAACAAGCAAACAAAATATCGAGAGCCATTCTTTACATTGCATTCTGGAAAACAAACTCATTTTTGAAGTTACTTCTATTTATTTGGATTCTGGAAAACTAGAATTTCTGACATTGCTCAGGGACCATAAATAACCTTGCTTAAGTGAAAAACTTCCTGACGCATCTCCTCTCAGCTCATGAGGAAGTTGCTTGTGTGAGAAACACTGGCCCACAAATCAGTGCCTGCCTGTTGGAGCATATGCTGATGTGCTCTCCTTTGTGGAGCTCATATTTGAAATCCCCGCTTGCATTTTCAGTCACACTTCCCCACTGCTGGGCCATCACCCAGGCCTCTTACATGAGGATATTAGCAGGTGTAAAGAGTATATGTGTATTTTGATATGCTGCCCTTCCTGTCCTTCCAAGTGAGCACTGTGTTAAAACGTGTTTCTTATGTTGCAATCCAGCACCATTCAGTAATAGAAACTTTGTTTTATTCTTACTGAGTCATATGATCACCAGATAATATTGACATTTAATAGAGATGGTTGTTATATGAAAAATCTTTCCATAAGGTGAATGAATATTCCTTGTACATCAGAATTAGTTATAAAAAATGTTTTTAATTCAGAGTGCATCTGATATTGATTTCCCTGGATGTCTCATTTACTAGCTCAGAGCCAGGATGGTACCAGATGTTAGATGACTCATAACCAACTGTCCTGATAATATATTTTTATATTCTACAAATTTAAGTGCTCCATCTAATTCTATCAGTTCTGTAGTGCCTAAAATTCTTGGGTTTTTCTTAAATTATTCATGAAATAAACACTGCATCTAGATGAGCAATAATGTCTCCCTGCCATATCATGACAGTTACAGAATCATCTATAATATAGGTTTCTTGATATCATCTCTTGTCATAAGCAGGGGCAAAAAGCTCAGTCTGGGGGTAAGGAAGAACGGAGCTTGCCATTTTATAGCTTCCCCCTTGCAGAGTCCCAAAATGTTTCTCAAACTCAAGTAGACGGTGTTTTCTAAAAGTGTATATGTATAATATAGAAAATACTGCCTCCTTCCCCCCAGATAGTCAGATTTATTAGTCTCAACTAGTGTGTAAGAATATGCATTTTTAGCAAGCACCACAGAGAGGGTGTGTTGTGCATACTCTAAACACTTGCAAATAGGGAAGAGTTTTAAAAATTGAGGCTAGCACCATCTGACTTGTTATTGTGTTGATTAGAAAGATCCTCAAACCTAGTACAGGCACAGTGAGGAAATAGTGAGAACAGTGATGGCTGAATTCAATGACTCGGTAAAATGAGTTCAGATTTTTAATATGATCCTCTGTATCAAACCACAGAGGTTAAAAAAAGTAAAGTTAAAAACTCCCCCTCTCTGGGTCTGGGGATTTAGCTCAGCGGCAAAAGCGCCTGCCTGGCAAGCGCAAGGTTGTGAGTTCGGTTCCTGGTACCGGAGAAAAACCAACAAACAAACAAACAAACAAACAAACAAAAAAACAACTCCCCCTCAGGGCATTTAGATGAGGAAATTTTTAGTCTTGTACCTGAAAAACTTCACACTAAGATATTGGTTTTCCACTGTGGGAGATTTTACTCCACTGCCTCTCCCTGCTGGGGAAATTTGACGATGTCTGGAGATATTGCTTATTAGGAAGACTCCAGCCAGGGGTAGGAGGTGCTGTTGGAACCCAGTGGGTAAAGGCCAGGTATGCTACTACTAAATGTCTGGTAATGCACAAGGCAGCCCTCAATAGTACTGAGGTTGAGAAACTCTGTTCCAAGGGTCACTTAGGGCCTGGGTTTATAGTGCTGTGGAGAGTTCAACAAAACAGGCACTCACAAGACACCAAAAATGCAGGAATGAACAAAGCTTGATTCAAAAGCTGGTGACAGACAGTCTCCAACAAGGAGCCAGACAAGATGTCTGCCCTGATCTGGGGTCTACCTCCAGTTTAAATACCATTTTGGGTTTCTGTAGTAACCATACAACCACATTAGCGCATTTTGTGGAATTTTACAAGAATGTCACAGAATTGTCACAAAGTTTACATTTCCCAGAAGTGGCTGAACATGTGCCTGTCAGACAGACCTGAGGTGGGCATTGAGATTTAACGTTTAGCCCACTTCCCAATTTGTTCTCTCTGTTCAGTTCCTATTTTATAGCTCTGTTTTCTTTGGTGGGTTTATGACTAACCAGGAAAGGGAGTGAGGAGTGAGTTCATCTACAGTTTAAGTGAAGTTAAGTGACTTCTCTTAAAAATAAAGTTGCAGAAAAGAAAAATGTAGTCTCTTTTGCCCTATCAATGGAAGTAGCTACCCTCATTCTTCATAGGGAATTCCTATCTCCTTCTGTCAGCAGGAGACAAGACCCTCCTTTGTGAACCAGCACTCAAATTCCCCCTCACAGCACAGAAGGGAAGCCAGCAGATCCCACCAGGTTGAGAAAAGTGTGGCAGCATCTGGAGGGACAGAGGATTGGGGCCACTGTCCATGATCCTATGAAGTTCAAATTCATTGTTTAGCTTAAAGAGAACCAATCTAGAGTAGATCACGGGCTTCAAATGATTTCTCCCCATTCTTTATTAGGCATCCCAGCAGGGAAAAAAACCAAACCAAAACAAAACAAAGCAAAACAACTCTGAGCCAATAAGAAGATAATTGCTTCAAGAGTTATTCCCTTCTTTGGTCTTGTCATATAACACCCACCAAGGGGTCCTATACCAGACTTTAGATCTTAAATCCAACTCTGTTACTTCTAAGCCATGTGGACTTAACCACAATAACTCATATATAAGCTAGGGACCACTTTCTTGGATTAAAAGAGAAGCTTTATGTGACAACATTTTGAAAGCAGAGTTAATCATGCAAATGTAAAGGATACTTGAAAGATAAATATTCAATATTCTTTCAACCAAATTCAACAGGTATGTGTACTTAGCCAGGGTCCAGACATGGTGTGAAGCTAGGCCTTCTTTCAAAGTAGTGATCTCAAACTTTGTTGGGTACCAGAATCATCTGGAGCACTTGTTTAAACACTAGGACCCCAATCCAGAGCTCTGATTCAGTAAATCTGGAGGAGGTCCAAGAATGTGCATTTCTAACAAGTTCCCAGGTAGCATGGATGCACCTGGTCTGGAGAATGCAAGTAATTTTAAATCATCCTTTATTTCTACTTCTACAGGATCATAGGTAATCTTAGGGCTGAGGCTAGAAAATCTATGCAGGCTAGCAAAGAAAACTGTTTGTCTGGCTCCTCATATGAATCACCTACGAAGTTTGTTTTTAATGTAAATACCTGACTCTCCTATCCATCCTGCTGAATTGGTGTCTTGAAGGAGTAAAGCCCAGGCATGTGTAGTTTGCAGAACTACACTGGAGTTTCTAATAATGATAAATATCAATAATTGAACACTTATTGCCAAATCTTGCTTCAAGTCACTCATTGTATTACTTCATTTAATCTTCCCAATAACCTTACATTACTAAAAGACTGTTATTATCAGAGATCTTTTCAAGGTATCATAGCTTGACTTTTTCAAGGTATCATAGCTAGTTAGTGGACTGGACTGGAATCCATGTACACTAGTCTGTCCCCAGAGAACAGCTCTTAACCACAAAGTTTCCAGATCCAGCTAATTCACTCAAACCTTTTTAATCACTGCTCCAACGCTTTGATCATGAACCACACAAAGAGGGGAAAAATCCCCAAGACAATCTGCAGTGTGATGGGGAAAATCATTAAAATCATCTGTTGGTTCCTGTCAGGTGAGAATACCTTAACTTTTAGTTAGATGAGTGCCACTTTTACCATGTTAAAATATTATCACACAAGCATAAAGAAAACAGTTTTTGCACACAATAGAGCTCTGGAAGTGAAGGCAGTGAGATTAATCCTTAGCAGTGGGCTGGATGCTGTCAGGGAGCCTGCGGTGATGTTTGGTATGGGGCGTGTGGACAGTGGCTCTGAGTGAAGAACCAGGTGCTCCATCTCCAACTGCAGCCCTGTCTCCGTAAAACCACACACACGTGCAAATGATACACCAACACCACAAGATCCCCAGAAAGCTGTTGTGTCAATGGCTAATGTAACAAGCCTACTGCCTGGATTTCTTGTGCTGCCTTTTGCTCTCTTCCAGCTATAAATGGGAGGACCTGGGGCATTTTGTGGGGTGTGCTCTCCGCTGCACTTAATTCTTAGGCCCACACCATACCGCTGTGAATGTTTGAGTCCAGAGAGCCCTTAGCAATCACCTCTTCTACGCATTCTTTTTCTTGTAAAGGTGAATTTAGGTTCAATCTAGGAAAATGACTGCAAGTGTACTATGTTTCAGGGACAGAATTCAGGGCAGAGCCTGGGTCTCTTTCCCCCTGCTCCAGCGTTCTTCATTCAGCCTGTTTAAAATAAAAGCTGAGGGGCTGGGGATTTAGCTCAGTGGCACAGTGCCTGACTGGCAAGCACAAGGTCGTGAGTTCGATTCCTGGTACCAGAAAAAAAAACAAAAAAAAACAAGTCACTAAAATAAAAGCTGATATTTCCCCTTGCCTTTCCTGCGGGTTGGTTATTTTGTTGGTGATTGATGAAGATAATCTGAACTGCCAATACTAATAGAATTCCAGAAAAACCAGGAGAACAAAGACTCTTGGCTGAAAATACATGTATCTGTACTTGTGTCTGCTGATAGTAATTTGCCTGTGTTTTTTTTTTAAGATCCCCTAGGAGATGCTTGGAATTGTGATACATGGAACAGCTCTTAGCTGTGTCCTCATGATAGTCACAGGTTAAACAACTGAAAATGTGGCCACCAGACAAAATTGCCTAAGTAGAATTGTCAGAGCATAAACTCAACTACCAAAGTTTAAACTTGCAGAGGATGCACTACAAGTTTACAGTCAGAGATATATCACTGGCTATCATGTTCTGGCTGCTGGAGAGTTGCTAACTTAAGATCACACTGGCCTGGGGGGTGGAATAAGTGAGCTTTCATTGTCTTGTACCCCGTTGTGACTAGTATACAAGGACTTCCAGACTAAGTACCCAGATGCTTCCAGCCTGCAATTAGGCACATGATTGTACAACTGGGTTGAATGGGACTTACCATTCTCTGTGCCCCTTCTTTCTACACAGGGCACGTGCACATCACAGATTTCAACATCGCAGCCATGCTGCCCAAGGAGATGCGGATCACCACTGTGGCTGGCACCAAGCCTTACATGGGTATGGACTTCCTGAGTGACAACTGTGAACTAAGAGCAAAGCTTTTGTATTTCATTCCTGTGGGTGCCATTTCCTGCAGGTCAACTCTTGTAAGGATTTACAGCTTGGGAGAAAACATTCCCCTGTGATTTTGCCTGGGAGCTTCTGATTTAATGGGCTTGAGGTGAACCTCGATTTTCCCATAGCAAATAGGGGGTCCACTTTAAGCATTTTGCAAATATTCTTTTATGACCTAATTAAGACAGTCTCTGCTTCCCAACAAAAACTATTCATTAATTCAGTAAGTGTCTACTAATTTTGTGTTTGGTCATGTTTCAGATGCCAGTGACTCAGTAGAGAGCAACACATATAAGGTCTTCACCTCAGAGAACCTGCATGATAGTGGGAGGAAATAACAAATAAAATTCAAATTAAAAAGGAAGAAACAGTAATACATAGCATGGTAATAAGTGACCAAAGAATTATTGTATCTGTAATAGACATAACACTGCACTACATTCATGGAGTTATAAATTGTGCAAAGTACCTTCCCAGTTGTAATTTTAGCTTCAATTTTATGCCACAACAATCCCATTTGTTTTTCTTTCAAAAGATGAGGAAATTTTGCCTCACAAAAGTTAAATGACTGTAATCTTGCTAACAGTGAGGCAAAGTATAGGCTGTGCCTTGATGATTTAGAATTTATTAAGGGCTGACTAACAGTGTAGCGTTAGGTGCAAAATGGCCAACAAGCTTTCATGCTTAAATGTAGTAACATATCAACTACAAATTCAAACTTAGTTATCAGAGGGTATGATCTCTGTAAAGACATAACTTGTCCTACCTCTCATACACCCCAAAATATACAAAGGATGGTCACCTTGTAGGGGGCATTCAGTACTCAGAAAGAGATTGTTCTTCCTCTTTGCTCCCCATTGTGAGAGGCAAGTGAGTCAGAGCTCAAATAATTATCTGTAAGTGATGAGGTGTCTGCAAAGAGTAGGGCCTCGCATTACACTCTTGGTTAGATATCTGTTTGGGTATTGGACTTGCTGACTGGTTCCTGAGCTAGCAGGCTCTCGAGGGCCATGGAGAGTTGATAAGTTTCAGAGCAGGAGATAGAATAATACATCAAGTATGAGTGTGTTTGGAGGACTAGCTACAGGATGCAGCCCTGCTTCACAAGAGCCCCTCCAGTGCAGGGTGCCGCCTGGGACCTGGGAGGAGGAGGTGCTGTCAGCCTGGCTTCCTGGGGACACCAGCAATCTCAGTACAACCCAACTCTATCAGACCCTCTGAGGGTGGAGTCCAAGGCATCCACTGGTTTAAAAGTTCTTCATGTAATTCTGCTGCACAGTCAGGATTGACTGCTTCTGCCAACCCTGTGGCTAGGGTAGCACATTTGTGTAAGATTTTCCTCTACTATTCTTTTTCTGTGTCCTGAAATAAACAAGCCCTTCTAAAAAACACTAGAGAAAGAGTTGTGTGAGAACCTCCATCTCTACCCTGAGGTGGTAGTATCTAGTCCATGGGGTAGAGGGGGAAAGAGTTGACTCAATTATGAGATTAGTTTCCAAGTTCATAGGACTGAATTTGAAAGTATCCAGAGTAGCAGTTGTGATGAACAAAAAGAGTTCAAATTTATTAGCCCCTAGGTTGAGTGGTCATGAGGGGATCCCCCATCCAGTCAAAGCTGGTGGTTAGATATTGCTCGGTTGCTGGTAGATAATACAACAGCACTATTCATGCTGCAATCCAATTAGTAAGATATGAAAGCAGATTCTGCTGCTGTAGAATCTGGTAGGATTAAGTTGGAGGTGGAATGAATTATGTTGGCGAGAGATGCTCAGAGTAACTCATAGGCAAAATATGTGAACTTGAAAATCAAAGACAAGAGCAGTGCTACTTTCTTTTTAATTCTCTTCCATCCCCTATATAATTGGGGGATAACCCCCTACATACAGGGTCACCTCACTTCCCAACAGAAAGACATCTATGGGAGGAAAAATAGCCTTATTTTATGTGATATTCGAATAACTGCAAGTTCCCTGGTATTCAATTATCAACGGGGGTGATAAATCTCTTTTGTTACTTCTCAAATAATGGACACATGATTCAGCCTATTTTCTGCCTAAAACCCATGGGATTCAGATGATAAAAGGGAATATCCAAGCCTGCTGGTCTGATGCGCTTAGTCCCCAGGTTTTCATATTAAGGGCTATTTTCTTGGAGCCAACTCAGAAAATGTGCATGTGGGGTTTCTAGTGCTAGTTTCCATGGTGAATGGAGTAAAGGCAGGCCACCTTTATTTCTTCTCTCCAGTGATTTTAAGTACAGTATCCGTCTTATTCATTTTTTTCAAAATTGGCATTTCTAGTCTTTTTATAAGATAGAACTAGGAAATTGGAATCTAGGCCAGAGGCTGTGCATTTTCCCACTTCACTCTTATAATTAACAATTGGTAATGTTGATTGAAATCTTTCTGTAGAACAATGAGTCTAATGCTTTATGTTCATTTACTCATTTATTTTTCTTAATAGCCCAATGAGGTAGACTATACTTATTTTAAAATGAAGACAATCAGAAACTAATTTGCCAAAGATTATATGGCTAAAACATAATAAGTATGAAAAAGCTTAGATTTAAACCAAGCTCTGGTGACTTCAGAAATCAAACTTCTTAAAAGAAACAGGAAGGGGAAATTTCTCTCTATACAAATTATATATACATGTATGTTTTAAAACATTTTTATTCGTGGCTTTTAAATTGTTCTAAGCCAATATAGTTAGGCCAAGATGTTGGAAATATTTCTTGTTTTATTCTAAATTAAATGTCTGACTGTGATACTTTATCTCCTTATGTAAAACGGTCCTCGCCTTTGATTTTGGGATAATAGTCTTTATAATAAGAATTGTTGGTAGACACCTGCTTCCTCTTTTTAAAAAGTGTATTTTTAGTAATCTGGTAAAATCTATCTATCAAGCATTCACTGGCACCTATTTTGTAGTGTTTATGTGCAATACCAATTAGCAATTAAACAGAATAAAAATCTAAAAGGAAATAACAGAATGTTAGGCTGAAATATTGAATGCAGATTAGAAGAATGTTCCATATCTACTGTTATGAGGTGCAAGGAATATTATTAAGCAGTTACATGACAAAATAAAAGATGATCTGTACCAGTGCATTATTGCTACCTTCTACCCAGCAAGGAAGTTTTGCTTTTTAAAATCTACAATCTTCTACCTCCACGCTCTGCTTTGATACCTCTAGTCCTTATTTCTCCCTATTCTTAAATCTGTGTGAATATAATCCAGATCAGAGTTTCCACAATTAAAACCTTATCCTATATAGAGAGAAACATGTGTGTGTGTGTGTGTGTGTGTGTGTGTGTACACAAACAAGTTCACTATGGAAAAGTAGAAAATGCTGATAAGCAAAAGGAAAAGTAAATTAATCCTTCTATCAATGATTTTTATTGTTTCCTTCCAATTTATATGTATATACATACATATGTGTATATATATATATATATTTCCAAAAGTTTGGATCATACTGTTTCCTTAACCTAAATTTTTACTTCATAATGTAATAACATCAGTAATAATATACATTATAGTGTTTATGATGTCTCAAGTACTTTAAGTTTTTAACATTTATTATATCCTTAAACTTTGAAAATAACTTTATGAAATAGGTTTTATTATATTCTTACTTCATAGATTTAAAAAGTCAGGCCTAGAGAGAAAATGATTTGATCATAACCACACAGCAAGTGATTGGCAGCATAAAATTAAACCCATGTCTAGAAACATCTAGTTTGGGACATTAAGGAGGGGGTTGAAAATGATAAAGGTATAATGACATTCACTGAGCTCTCTGGACATTTTGATCCTTGTCCTAAGTGTACGAATTATATAAACTAAAAGTAATTCAGTGAGACTGGAACTTTTGTCATTCTTGCTCTAAAGACGAACAGACAGAGAAAGAAAGTAGGAAACTTGTCCATGGTGGGGCTGGACACAAAGTCTAAAGGATCTAAAGCCAAAATCCCAACTCATAGCACTTCTCTGCTGCCCCTTAGTTCAAGTTAACATCCATGCCTCTGCTGCAGTGAAAGCCCTCTTCCCTGATGCCACAATATGGGGCTTGAGGACCACACTGCTTTTCTCCACACCAGTATACCTATCATTTTTAAAGGCTCAGGTGCCACAAATTAGAGGGTGGCACCAAAATTTACCACCCCTTGTTGTTGGACATTAGGTTGTTTCCCATTTTGAAATATGTATAATTTTGTAGTAAAAAGTCTATTAACAATATCATGTCTTGCAACAATTATTTCTCTGCCATAAATTTTCACCCAAAAATAGTAATGTGTTGTAGTCTCAAAAATCATTGAGAGTGTCACCACACATTAAAAAAATAGTGCATGAGGTGAAGCATGTGTTAATTGCCTTTGTTTAGCTTTTCCATAATATACACATATTTCAAAATGTCATGTGGTGCACAATAATTATGCATAATTTTGTCAATTAAAATTAATTACTTTAAAAAACATTTTTTATTCAGATGATATAGAAATGAATCTGTTTACCTCTTGGAAGTTCTTATTGATTTCTACTTGCACTGTGATTGCCTGGCATATGCAATTCTCTGCGTCATCACCACAGCTTTAATCTTCCCCAAATGATAAGTAAAAATGATACCCTCTTGTGATATTAAAGCTGAATTGCTCTGACTTCTTTTGTAAATTGCCTGTTCACATTCTTTGCCCATTTTCTATTTGAGTATGAACATCTTTACCTCCTCTTACTATTTCTTATTGGTTACATGAAGAAGTCTTGCCTTTATATTTTAGGAATTGTTAGGTCCTGATGTTTGATATTTATTATGTTATTCACTTAAATATGATTCATTACTTTTTAGTTTGCTGTTTTTATGACATAAATGAGTTCTAATGTCATCAAACTACTCATCCTTTTGGTGGTTGGGGGAGCTGGGGATAGAATCTGAGGCCTTGCACACGCTAACCACACACTCTAGCACTCAGTGATACACGCATCCCCCTCGTCTTTTTACTTTCTGGTTTCTGTCATTGATGTTATTCTTACCAAGACTGTCTTATCTCCAGAGTTTTTATGATTTACCTAATATTTTTATTATTTTTTACTCAATCTAGCTGTATATAATTTTGGCTGAACGTATGTGGTAAGGGTCTGAATTTATTGTTAGATAACTGCATAAATATTTTGAGATTGTATCTTAAATAAGACCTCTTTCAGGATGATTCAGAATATACTCACCATGAACTAAATAAATTTATGTGCTGACATATATCATCTGTGGCTTTCAAGTCTCAATTATAGGGCCTGAGATTTAGCTCAGTAACACAGTACCTGCCTGGCAAGCATGAGGTCCTGAGTTTGATTCCTGGTACCCCCCCCCAAATTTATAGCTTTATAATGTAGGTTAATACATGTGATATAATTTTGTCTCATTATTCTTTTTCAAAAATTTTTATTATTTGCTCTTTCCCCTTGCAGGTAAAATTTAGAACCAATTTTTATAGAAAGTTCTAAGAATTATTTTTACTGTAGTAAATTTATAGATTTAATTTTGAGATTTTTATGTCCTGATGAAGATCTAATATATAGGTCTTTAAAAAACTTCAAAAACCAATCAATGGAAATTCAGTGTCTCATACACTTATTAAAATGTAGTCAAGCTTATTAGTAACTGGAGGGGTGCCAGTTCAAGCCACCACTGAATACAACTGCACAGTCACTGATCTGTAAAGACTAAAAACTCAAGTGTCCTCAAATACCAAATGTGGATAAGATTTGCAGTACAAAAGCTCTGAGACATTGCTGGTCAGCAGGTGAACAAGCATGGCGACTTTGGTAAATAGTTTGATGTTATCTAGTACACATGAAGAAGCACATTCCTACAGCCAGCAGATCCCCAGTCTTACATGTACAGGGATGTTCAAGAGAGCATTGCTTATAATATTTCTATCCTGGAAATAACCCAAACAGCTATCAAAATAGATCAGGTAGGTCAATTACAATATATTTACTCATATAACATTAAATATGAACAAACTGTAACTACCTGAAGTGACTTGGATAAATCTCATATTCTGCACTGTTGAGGTAGTAATCCAAGACACCGAGAACTGGGATTTAATTTAAGAGGATTTAACAGAACACAAAGAATAAGCTTAATTTTCTTTGTTAATGTTTCCTTTATTGTGAAGCACTGAAATGTGAATTAAATACCTGGCCAGCAAGGCATTCCCTCAGCCAGTTTGCCCACAACCTCCAGGAAATATGCAAAATCAAACCATTGTTTAGAAATGTATATATCAGGAAGTAAATCTATGTCAAATATGAAGAAAATTATTAGCATGTAATTCAGGATGGTGAGGTCTAAGGATGTGAACGGGGCAGGACACAGGGCAGGAAGGGGGAATGCTTTTTGATGCACACAATGGTTACATGGGCATTTGCTTATAACTATTACTTAAATTCTTTTAAAGTTTCATTTATCTCTCTGAATTATGTGTAGAAATAATTAAAAAGCAACAACACGTAAAATAGTGGATTTTTTTTTTTTTTTTTTGGCATGTGTGTGTGTGTGGTTCTGAAGATCCAATCCACAGCTTTGTTTTCCACTGCTGCCCCCCACCCGGTACCGGGAACCAAACTCACGACCTTGCGCTTGCCAGGCGAGCGCTGTGCCGCTGAGCTAAATCCCCAGCCCCCAATCCAGAGCTTTACACATGCTGGGAAGGCCCTCTGCTAATAGGCTATATTCCCAAGCCCTTAATGGTGCTTTCTGAAGAAAACTTAATCCCTCTCCAACTCTGTTTATACCTTCTCAGGAGCAGGGAAAATCCTTAAAGTGTGAGTGAAAGGCCCTGAGGAGCTTCCTGCTCTGCTTTTTCTGTTATTTGAAGACTTAAAGAATTACCCATTTGTTCAGCTTTTGTATGTTGTCAGGATTTTTCTTCCTAATGTCTTACCAAATTCCTCAGTGCATAGCAAACCATGAACATCTGCTCAGTGGACAAATGTAAATCCAGATGTCTTCAGGCCTGAAAATAAAACAAGAAGAGCAGAAAAAAGAATAGTTACTCAAAAAAGTTCGGGGGAGAAAGACAAAAATACTTGTAAACTCCGAGGATGATCCAAAATGACAAACTACATAGCTTTTCCAGGGTAACATTTGTGTTGTTTGGCACGTTCCTACCACAGTGGGTCCAGTGGGTCCTCAAACCTCTTTGCAGCTTCTCTAGGTGAGATGTCTGTCCCATGTCATCTGGGAGACTCTGAGATGACTTGCTGTGAGATACTGAAAAGAGAAAGCAGAAATGTGGTCCTTACCATCCAGTCTGTGGGAGTTTCTGTGGGGTCAAGGCCATTATCTGCCCAGTCCCACTGGGAGTTGTGACTTGCAGAAAGGATGCAGTGATGCGTGAGAGGTGAATTCACTAGGGCACGAGGCCTACTTAGTCTGGCTACATCAAGCTCTTATATTCAGGTCAGTCCTGGGCATTGAGGAGTCAGCATTCTATCTCTAATTGGATGTTGTCTGCGGAATTTTACTAGAATTGGAATGAATTGCATAGGCAAACCTGAGTATGCAGAGGGCACCTCAGATCAATTTCCTTTTCCTTTTCAGCACCTTATTAAAGGCACTTGACCTCAACCCCATGTATCTTTTGACTAGGTACATTCTCCATTATTATGGATGTTCGCCTGCCTAAGTGATTAATTAATATTTTTGAGCACTTAATAATTATCAGACTCTATGCTGTGATTTTGATATATATTATCTCATTTACTTTATAAATCCATAAAGATTGCCTTATTATTCTGCTTTTGCTAATCATGCTCTGCCAACTGCTTTCTTCAAGGGCACAATGTGTGGTGGAGGCAGAACTTGAACCCAGACAGCACAGGCTCAGAGCTAATGTTCAAAACTATGAATAGAGTAGTTGATTTATTTATCCATTCACTTAACAAACTGCTGCCCATTGAGTCTGACTGCTTGGCTGTCTACTAGACAGGAATGTCATGGTGAACAAGCAGACAAGATACCTTCGCTTGCTATGTGCTTCATTCTCCTATTCCAGCTCTCACAGTATTAAAAGAGCGTGTAGAGAAAGTTCCCTGTGAAGCAAGGTGCTTAGAGAATGCATAACAGAAGCTTCATCCCTGGGGCTGAAACTGACTTTGACCCTGCCTTTAATCCAGTGGATGCCAATTCACAGAGCTAGGATCTCCAAGTGTTAAAGACCCGAAGTGGTAGTAAAACCTTGTATTTCCCAGAGTGTCTATTTTATCTTTTCTCCTGCCCACATCCCCAGCAGGAGGCTGCAACTGCTTCTTCCTTTGTTTCCAGGGGACTCCAAGATGAAGAGCCAGTGTAGTGTATGTTGTACCAATCCTGAGCATTGTTTGCAATCATGAATTGAAGTCCTTTAGTGCAAAATCTTCCAAATCAAGATAGCAACTTCTTCTTAACCTTCTTTATTTTAGAGTTCGATACATACTTAATGCCTAGTATGACCCAATTTTAATGGGTGTCTAAACACTTGGTCTAAACAAGTGAAGACTTCATCTGTTACAGCTTGTGTGTGCCTGTGTGTTGGTTGATAAATGAGGCAACTGAGAGAGCTAAAAAATTAGAAGTTTTTTCCTGCTGTGAGCAATCTAGCAAGGGACAACAAACATTCATAAGTGTTTATACCTTTTATGCTGGTAATTCTCCTTCAGAGGAACATGGTGGGAAAATAGGTTTGTTAATATCTCAGTGAGTAAAACTGGCCTAACTTTTCTATGTTTTTTTCAGCACCTGAGATGTTCAGTTCCAAAAAGGAAACAGGCTATTCCTTCGCTGTTGACTGGTGGTCCCTGGGAGTGACGGCATATGAGCTGCTACGAGGCCGGGTACAGGAAAACTGCATGCTCTCTTTGGTTATTCTTCGAGCGAGTTCTTTTTTAAAGTGAAAGAATGCATTGTTTGCTAAGAATCAAGCAAAGTGTATTTGAGAGCTGAAAACAGTTATGTTGTATGATGCTGATACTTCTCTTTGAGGGTTTTGAACAGATTAATTCACTGTCTTATATACAGGACTAACCGTGTCAGTGAACATTAAATTACCCAGGTAACATTAAATAAATAGTACAAATACCATACATTCCAAAGAGCAGCAATCAATATAGCTCACTCAATAGCTTGGGTAAATATATGTGTTTGTTTAAAGAAAGTCATTTTGCAGTCCCAGTACAGAATTCTTTTATTTGTAATTTTAAAGAGAAAAAAAAACAATAAAAACAATGATACAGAATTTCAAAGCAACATAATAGGAAATTAACAATGGTTAGCACATTGTGTGTATTGTTATCTTCAAAGTAGTTGCTCAGATTACAAGATATAAGCATGCAAAATTAATCAAACAATATAAGCACAAACCACTGCCTTCAGTGAGCTAAAAGAAATTAGTAGCATAATTATCTTAGCTATCTTCTGTGCATATATATATATTTTTTTTTCTTTTCCCTTTCTTTTTTTTTCCCCCATCCCAGTTGTTGTTTCCTTTGAGCAATTTCATTCCCTTTCACAGTCTCTATTGCCAGTACAGAATTTTAATTCAGACACATCTCATTAAAGCAGTGTGAATTATTAACACAACACAACTCATGCCCCATCCTGTCTGTCATTTGGCTCCTGGCTTATGGGTTCAGGGGCAAATCAGAGAACTTTCCTTTTAAAGAAAACATTTCTCAATCTAAGAAGCCTTTTTCTAGAAAAAAAAAAAGATAAAAATGAAATAATGATGAACAAAAATATATTTTATACAAGTTTTACAAACTACTGCAGAATTCAGATATCCTCCAAAGGTTGTGTCTTAGTCAGCTTGGCTTGCCAGAACAAAATACTATAATGGGATGGATTAAGGAGCAGGTTTTTATTTTCTCACAATTAGAGATACTGGAAGATCAGGGTGCTAGAGATGTTTGGGTTTTGGTCTCTCTGTGACATGCAGAGAGAGAGAGAGAGAGAGAGAGAGAGAGAGAGAGAGAGAGAGAGAAGAGAGAGAGAGAGCTCTGCCTCTTCTTGTAAGGTTTCTCAGTCACAACCTCATCCTGAGGGCTCTACACTCATGAACTACTCTAACCTTAATGACCTGCCAAGTGTCCCCTATCCAAATACCATCCCAGTGAGGATTACAGTTCAATATATGAATCAGAGTCACCTGTGCATTCCTAAAATTCATGTCCTCACATGCAAAATGCAGTCATTCTATTTCCATAGCCACAAAGGCCTTAATTCATTTCAGCACCAACTCAGCTCTCTAAAGTCCAAAGTCTCCTTAAATATCATCCACACTGAGTATGGATGAAACTCAAGGTATGATTCATAGTGAGAAAAAAATTCTTATCCAACTGTAAACCTATACAACTAAACAAGTCATATGCTTCTAAAAGACAGTGGTGACATAGACATCAGATAGACAATTGCATTCCAAAAGAGAAATATGAAGAGAAAGGGGCCCTGAGCCCAAATCCAATTCCAAACCCAATGAGGAAATGCCCATTACATTTTAAGGTTCAAGAATATCCCCTTTGACCATCATGAAGGATGAAATCCATTCCACTACAGGCACAGAAAGACGCATACTACATGTTCCCATTTGGGGAAGCATAAAAGGTTGATCACACAGAAGTAGAGAGTTCACTAGAGCTCCCTACAAGTTAGGAAGGATTGAGGGGAAGGGGATAGAGAGAGGGTACATAATGGGAATCCCGATGCAACTGGGGGAAGTAGTTCTGATGTTCTACACCACAGCAGAACAACAATGGCCTATAACAATTCATTATACATTTAGAAATAACTAAAGAAGAGTTTGAAAGTTCCCAGCAGATAGAAATGGTATTATGTGAAGAAATGGAAACATTGTATCCATGTACTGAATTATGGTGATGTGATACAAATATTATAATATCAATATTACATGTCATTAAAAACAAAAATATGGAAGACAATCTTTTTTGATTGATTACCTGTCCTCCAGAACTTCAGACTGGCAGCCTCACTCCCGTTGCTGAGGGTGGGGGAAGGGAGACTGTACAGCATCTCTACAAGGGCTCTGTCCTCAGGGCTCTCTGCCCCCCCCCCCCCCCCCCCCGACAGCTGGCCAGGTGTGGTGCTGCCCTTTGAAACCCTGGCAGAAAGTTCCCTGCCCCTCCACAAGCCAGTCTGTTCTGTCAGTGTTGATGGCCTGCAAATCATTATCGTGGGTTTTCTCCTCTTTACTTGAAGAATGCTGCATATTCACAGCCAGATAGTATTATGGTCCTGCCTTATAAAAGCTGAAAGTGTGATATCCTTCCTTTATTGCATCTTTGTGCTCTGCAATTCAAACAGTCAGTATCTCTGCTAATGCAATCCAGTCTTTATCTCTGAATCTTGTTGAGGTGATAATTAAGTTCATAAGTCACAGACACCATCTCTTTATCAATTGGTAGTTCAACCATATACCCTTAGTGCTCTTTTCAGAATAAGCATTCTCTTATTTTACAGTACAGATAGTCCAATTGTTTTACAGATCATCAAGTTCTGATTCCTTTTTGCTTAAAAGTTTTGTCTTCAGTTCTCTCTTCTTTCTCATTTCACTAGAAGTGCTCAAGAGGAACCCAGCCAGACTACTTCAACATTTGCCTTAAAATCTCCTCAGCTAATTTTCTAGCTTTAATCTTCACAAATCCTACCTGGTAGGCACTAAAACACAGTTCAGACAAGTTCATTGACATTTCATAACAAGGATCGCTTTTCTTTCAGTTGCCAGTAACATGTTCTTCATTTCTGATATCTGAAGAAGCTACCCTTTAACATCTGCTTTTAAAATCTGCATCTCAGAGCTCTCCTGACTGCTACTCACTTACCAGCTCCAGTTGCTTCCACATTTTCAGTCACAGAAGCACCTCACTGCTCAGTACCAGAATCTTTTAAATCAACTAAAGACAAAGGTGCCTTAGCAAAATATGAGATGCAACCATAAACAAGAATGAATTTTTAAATTTTAACATAATTACTACAGTAAAAGACATATTGCCTTGAATCCCCTTAAAACACTTTCCCTTGCCTGAAGTGCACTTTTCCCATCACTCCTGCAACTTTCTGAAGCAGATCTGGAAGTACCCTTTCAAGACCGTCTTTAGTTGTGCTCTCCTGACACCTCAATGTCCGGAATTGATTCAAACCTTTTACCTTTTATGGTCCTTGTGACCTGGGGGAAGAGCCGGAAATCACGTGGTGCCAGATCCGGTGAATAAAGTAGGTGAGGACACACTGTAATGTTTTTATGATCCTGCATTTCTGTCAGGTGGCACTTGGCAGCAGTCTTCACCTTACTTTTGATCACACCTTATAAGTGCAACTACAAAAGTGGACTTTCAGAACTGCTTCAGGAAGTGGCAAAAATGGTGGGATAAGTGTTTTGAAAATGAGGGGGCATATTCTGAGGGGTATTAATTGCAATTTATCTCTTACTAAAATAAAATTTTAAAATTTATTTTGAATTAATTTTATTGGTACATTTTAGAGATACCTAATGATCATATTCATTGTAGGGAATTTGCACCCATACAAGATATCTCTTCATTCTTCTCCTTTTCCCATTCCCCTCCCTTCAACCCCCTTCCTGTCCTTATTTACAAAAGCTTTGTTTCCATTTTTCCTTCTATTCTCATTTTTTGCTTTTCCCTTCCTTCATTTCCCTCATCCCCTCCCTAGTTCCCCTTCTGATTTGAACATTTTTTTTCCTGTTTCACAAGATCTATTGTACATTTTGGTCCTTATTTACCAGAGAAACAATGCCATATTTAAGTGTGTGTATCTGATTTATTTCACTCAGGAGTATGGTCTCAAGGTGCATCTACTTACCTAGAAATGTCCCAAGTTTATCCTTCTTTATGGCAGAGTAGTACTTCATGATACTAAAAAACCCTACATCTTTATCCATTCATTGATTGATGAGCATTTAGGTTATTTCAAAGATTTAGCTATTACAAACCATGCTGCTATAAACATGGGTGTGCATATATCACTGTGGTATGATGCTTTTAATTCTTTAGGGAAGATACTAGGAGAGGGAAGAGCTGGGACCTCTAGCCCTAGTGTTCTGAGGACTCTCCACACTGATTTCCACAGTGATTGCACCAGTCTATATTCCTGCTAGTGAAGAAGGTTTTCTTTTTCCACACCGCCTCTCCAGCATTTATTCATTGACATTCTTTCTTGTTATTTTTGTTTTTTTGAGACAGGGTCTGGCTATGCAGTTCAGGCTGGCCTTGAGCTCACTTTGTAGCCCAGGCTGGCCTCGAACCTGCAACGATCCTCCTGCCTCAGCCTCCTGAGTGCTGGGATTACAGGCTTGCACCACACACCTGGCTTTTGACATCTTGATAATAAACATTGTTTCTGGAGTGAAAAGGAATCTCTGTGTTATTTTAATTTGCATCTCTCAAATGACCAGTGATGTTGAATATTTTTTTCATACATTTCTTTGCTGTTTCTGTTTTTTCACCTGAGAAGTGTCTGTTCATTTCAGATGCCCATTTTAGATTTGGTCTTTAAATTCAGGGGTCTGATTTTTTTGAGGTCTTTATATATATTTTAGATAGTAGTCTGTTGCCTGAGGAATAGCTGGCAAGATTTTTTTTCCCCACTATGGGTTATCTCTTCACTCTATGATGATTTCTTTTGCTGTGTAAAACCTTTTAGTATGATAAGACCCCAGTTGTTGATCCTTTTTGATATTTCCTGTGCAATTGGGATTTTGTTAATAAAATTTTTACCTATACCTATGTCTTCAAGACTTCTACCTATTCTCTCTTCCAACAGATTTAGTGTTTCTTTTTTTAATGTTTAGACAGTTGATCCATTTCAATTGTAGTTTAGTGCATTGTGAGAGATATGGGTCTAGTTGCAGTCTTCAGCATGTAGAAAACCAGTATTTCCAGCACCATTTATTAAAGAGTATCTTTAATGAAGGTGTTTGGCCCATTTGTCAAGGATAAGATGTCTGAGTGTCTTTGGAGTTGTTTCTGCATCTTCTAATCTGTTCCATTGATCCTCAGGTCCGTTCTTTTCTTTTCTTTTCTTTTCTTTTCTTTTCTTTTCTTTTCTTTTCTTTTCTTTTCTTTTCTTTTTCCCTGCCACTAGCATGCTCTTTTTATCATGGCAGCTTTGTAGTATACTTTCAAGTTAGAGACTGTGATGTCCCTTGTCTTCCCTTTGTTGCCCAGAATTGTTTTTCTAGGTCTCTTCTGGCTCCAAATGAATTTTAGTATTGTTTTCTCTAGTTCTGTGAGGTATGCTATTGACATTTTGATTGGGATTGCATTAAATCTGTGTGATTATTTTGGGACTATGGCCATTTTCACTATATTCAGTCTTCCACCATGAACAAGGGGTGTCTTTCAAAATTTTTAAAATTTAAACACACACTGTAATTTACTATCGGTTCTATATTCAGTGGGGTATTAAACAAAAGAAATGTACCATGTCCAGCATGAAAGCTGGAAGTCTGATACTAGGGTGTCAGCAAAGTCAGGATCTGGTGAGGGATCTCTTCTTGGCTTGCAGATGGCTACCTTCTCACTGTGGGCTCATAGTGGAGCATGGGGTCACCATAGTTTAATGTTCATTTTGCTCAGGGAGCCAAGATAAGTGTTTCCACATGAACCAAAGGAGGGTCTCATTATTGTATCTGTTTCATTCACTCTACAGTGTTCATTTCACATCTCAACATTAATTTGTTCCTTGTTTTTACTCCCCTACTTCCCTTAGGAGAGTATTCTAACACTGTTTGTGAAGCATATTCAAATTCTGATAAGCAATTTATGTTCATGGAAGAGGACCCTCTCTGTAAACCAGATACATAGTTTTCCCATGGACAGAACATGTATCACATGCTTCCTTCTTGTGATGAATTTTGTCCCTTTTTTAAAAGACAACTAGTGAGTGTAACCGTAGTGGTATATTGATGTTTATACAGACAGAAAGCAGAAGAATCACATCATTTACTTAAAAGTAGAAACACCTCATCCTCCAGTTATTTCCTCAGTTAACTTCCTCCTGACTCCCTGTGTAGCCTTTAGTGATTCGAAACAGGTCTTGGAAACTTCTCATCAGTTTCTGAGTTTGGTCACAGTCTTCACTAACGTCTCCCCTATTAACCTCGTTTGTTGTCTCTCAGTCTCTTAGTTACCTGTTGCCCTTAAAAGGCAGAGGTCCATGTCTTTAGTAGTTTTTTCCATAAGTACAAAGTTAAAATCAGCACCTCTGTACTTTTGCACCAAAATCTTACATCCTTAGCTGCAACTCTTTCTTTTGTACTCCTGAAATATAATTATAACACATCCTCTACTTGTATGTAACATTTTACCTTTCTCTCTTGTTCATTCTTTATAGTCTCTACTATCAATTTATATTTTGCATCACAGTTGTTTTATATATCTGGTTACATATTATAACTCTCCTTTGTTCCTTGTATCTCATATGTTAAATGTATGTTTATGTGTGTATGGTCTATATAGGTATTTATGTTTCTGTATTTAGACTTTAGACTCTGCTAATATAGAAACCATATTGTTTTATTCTTCATTGCATCCCCAGTGCAGAAAAGAGGTGCTGGGACATAGTAGGCATCCACTAAATATTTGGCAGGTGAATAAATACGTAATTATGGCATTTAATGAATTAAAGTGAAATTTAAACTTAGAACTAGAAAAGTAAGTTAATAAGTAAGCTAAAGACAGGTTGATTATTTTTGTAATGAACTGGCAGGCCATGAAGATGAACGTACTCTTTAGGTGATTCAGACCTGTACTAATAAAAAGAACAGAAAAAACAATTATATACAGAATGGAATCAAGAAAACTAAAAAATACACTTAACACAAGATGTGTCAGACTTGTACACTGAATGAAAATTACAAATATTATTAAAGTAACAATCGAAATAAGTGGAAAGATATCCCCTCCACAAAAATGTTAAATTCACTCACATGGCCTTCTAAAGTAAATGAAGAAAACCACACACTCTTAAGCTACTCTCTTGTGGCGTTCATTGGCTAGTTCATTCAAGTTTATCAAATTATTTTGCTTTCAAGAGGGCAAATAGACGGTAGGTTTAGAAACAGCAGTGACGTGAAATAAATAAAAAATTTATGAGAAAGGAAAACAAAGTGCTATAGGCATAAAATCCTAGAAACTCAAGTAGGCTGAGTCTGACCCAACCCTTGCTGGTACACGTGGCCAGAGTATTGTGAAGGAACCCATCGTGTCCGTGGGTAATGAAAACACACTTTGTAATGGCCATACAGCCTCTAGAACTGCCTGATATTGAGTTGAGCATCTGTTTCCCCTACATCATTACCAACTATGACACTTACTTTTAAACCTTACTTTAAAAAAATGCAAAGTTTGATCTAATCTTAGGGGTTACCTCCTTCTACTTTATGATTCCATAAGTAACCAACATTGACTTATCATGCATAGAGTTGAGCCTTTCTTCCTATCCCATTATTATTAAAGACTCATCCTGTTGGTCACTACTCGTATGCATATCTGCCCCTTTCTACATGTGTGTCATTAACAATAAGAACAACTGTCCTGTACTATGTGTGCTAGGGAGTAGACACTTCACTGAGAACTTCTCTAATTTTCCCAGCAGCGTCACTGAGTGATTCATTATACAGATAAAGTAGCTTTCTTCTTACAGATAAAGAAACTGAAGCTCAGAAATTGAGTGGCTGAGTTTAGCACTCAAATCCTTCTGCCTTTGGAGCTCAAACCTCAACTTCATTAACTCTTAACATTTATTTATTCCAAAGAAAATGTAGACCCTGTCCTTCCCTTCCACTTAGTTCATCTGTCAGTGATCATTTTTAAACATCTGGAAAGGGCCGGGAGTGTGATGCATGTGGGTATTCATATGCAGTATCCTGTGGTTAATTTAATACAAGAATTTTATTCATTCAACAAAATATCAAAGACATATTAGGTGATAGGTCCCTGGATGAGAAAGTGAGTATGATATACTTTCTGAGTATATACTGCTTACACTTTACATAAAAAAACATGAAATCCTGTCAGTCATTTAAAGATACTATTGAACTAGGCTGCCCTCTCATGGACAGCTGTGAAAACCACAATTCCAGTTTTCAATTTTTCCTCCAAGTTAAAAACCGATAACCTTGCTTCTTCCAGAATTTGTTTTCAAAGTTTTTACTTCATTATACAGTTCTGCACTTCACTTTCCATGGGGCCAAGGACTCCTAGCATTTGAGCCTGGGCTTGATGTTTTCTGAGCCACTTTTTATCTTGAACTTTCTCATTATGTTTCAAGTAAGAGAAAAGGAGGGTCTGGTACAAGTGTGGATTGCTTTATAACAAATTTGTATATAATTTTTAAACTTTAGCTGATTGGGCACTTGTCCAGTATTTTATATAAATACTTGTATAAGTTACTTGAAAAGTTTCAAACCGGCCTCTCAGAGGCTGAGTTAACCCACTGAAATGTTTTATTTGGATCAGTGGAATTATCAACTTTTAAAAATTATTATATTTCACAGGAAATTCTAGGTTTCTGGCATCTTTTAAAAGTGGGATACCCACCATTATTGATCATATACACTGTGGCAACCATATTCCCCTGAAAGGGTTATAATTGATATTTCATTGGTTGGAAGTTGAGCTTGGGAACATTTGCTCATCTTTTTCTTTTGCCTTATAAAAATGCAGACTCTTGCCTCTTCTCTCCCTTAAGAGACCATATCACATTCGCTCCAGTACTTCCAGTAAGGAAATTGTGCACATGTTTGAGACTGCTATTGTGACTTACCCTTCTGCCTGGTCACAGGAAATGGTGTCACTTCTTAAAAAGGTAAGACTGTGCTTCCAACAGAAGTGATAAAAGGAAGCACGTTTTCTGCTTTAATGGTAGAAATTAGAATGTATAATATTGAGCCAATCGTGATAATAACCACTTCTAGAATGGTTGTTACAGCTAATGGGTTTCAAAGATGTGGCTTAAGTCAATTCCAAGTGCACCTGTATGTCTCAAAATTTTCTCAGACTTGCTGTCCAAAATGCAATTCTTACTCTCTGTATTTCCTGGGTATCTTTCAATGTTCCCTCTTTTGGAATAACTCCTCTATCTATCTACTCATGCCAGCCAAAACCAGGGCTCATTCATCATCTTCATATCTAAAGTTCTGAAAATTTTACATTTTAAATATCTTTTGAGTGTTTCACCCTTCTTTATCTCTACTAATATCTCGCCAGTCCACCTGCCAGCAAGTCTTGTCTTGTAACTGGTTTGCTCTCCCATACGTTTGCTATTGCGTTCTGTTCTCCGCTCTACCCCAGCTGACGGTCTTCCTGTTGGCCTTAGAAAGAAGAGCAAAACAATGTGCATGATACAACTCCCTCTCAAGCTTTATTTTGAATTTTTGTCCCCCTTTTGACTACCCCAAAACTGCTTTGGCTTTCTTCTTCTTCTTCTTCCTTTCTTTCTTTTCCTCCTCCACTTCCTCCTACTCACGCAGCAGCCTGCCTTCTCCACACAGCCTTTGCACATGCGCATCTCTTTCCGGACCGTTATCGCTCAGCCTAGCTCTCTAGCTCCCTCCCTGGGGTCAGCACTACTCAACAAGATTCACTGACTGATTCTTAATCCATAGACTTCTTCCTTAAGAGTCCATATATGTACAGAAATTGAGAGCATTTGGAAACATTCATAGCAGATTGACAATACTGTAGTATCTAATCACATGGTCGGTGGATTTGCCTCATTGAATAGGTTTCAAGCTTGTTTCGCTGGTGTAAAACTCCAGCTATGACTTGGATGTGGTGTGTAGGTGTGTACTAGACATACACAAAAGGGACACGTGTTGGTTTGAGTGGGTTAGAAAAACAAACAAAAAAAAAAACATCAGGCCTTTCCACACAGTTTGCGAAGTACAACTTCAGATCTTAGCAGCTCAAATATCACTTCCTTGAGGAGTCTTTTTCTGTTGTAAGTTCCTTCACATTCTTTCCCTTTATACTATATTTCTTGGTTTGAAATCATGCCCAGAGTTGTTGTGATCATTGGGTCAGTGTTTTTACTGCAGTATCCTGCGTGAGGGTAGGAACTATGACTGTGTGACACGTTATTCTCTAACAGAACCTGACAAGTGGTAAAATTTGTTAAATATTTGAAAGAATGAGGTGCACAGCTTTTAAGAGATTTTTGTGATGCCTATGTTCACCAAATGGCCTAAATCAATTATAGTAAGAGCTCATTAGCTTATTTTTAATAATAAATCAAAACAAAGAATAAGGAGCCCAAGAAGATGGGCTGAGGTGTTTTGCTTGTTGTTTTTTAGTTCATAGGTTGTAGCTGGTAAAGGAAAACAGCTTTAGAGGCTAAATGCTCAAAATCGAAGCTCCTTGTCTTTGGGGCCAAGTTCAGGGTTGGGATGGGGTGCTGTCATTAGTAACATCAGTGATGAAGGATGAGCGTCTCTGTAAGCAAATATGTCTCAATTCCAAGACAAGCCTCATTCACCCCAAAATTACACCTTGATACTCCGTGATTGCCCTATTAAGAACATTCTCAAGTGGGACTGGCATTTCCCATTTGAGCTGCACCATTGATATGATGTTGGCTTTGGAGTGGTTAGCAGGGAAAAACCTTAAATCCACTAGTAAAAAACTGGAACAGTAACTTTAGTAAGTTATATCGTATCTTTGCTATGTCCAATGTATTTTAGTTATAAAAACAGTTAAAATTTTTAGGGAGAACCAGTTTTCCTTGTGAAAATATAAGAAAATTTATCTCCTAACATAAGTGGACACTCTATAAAGCTCTTTACCTACCAGGCCTCGCTTAATCCTGGTTACAGCCTTATGAAATAAGTTATTATCTCTTTTTCTACAGATTGGTAAATTGAGCTTTTGAGAACAAACTTAACCATAGTTAGTAAGGAAATCCAGGAACTGAAGACAAATTAGCATCTGTCCTAATGAGCCATTATGTACATTATGTGCAAATAAGGTCAGAGAAGAGAAGCATTGCCTTGTGTCTTTCAATCCTACATGAAAACACTTAAAGGGAAGTTCTGTGATTTTTTTTACCCCTAAATTTTGACTTTTCTCCCAACCATGATGTCTGTATTCCATTGGCAGCTACTTGAACCTAATCCGGACCAACGATTTTCTCGCTTGAGTGACATTCAGAACTTCCCATATTTGAATGATATGAACTGGGATGCAGTTTTTGAGAAGAGGCTCGTTCCAGGTTTTGTTCCTAATGTGAGTTAGTCCTGACAAACCTGCAATAATATCCTTTGGTGATCATTACTCTGTGTGATGGAGCTACACATTGTCTTATTGATCACACAAGTGTGAAGGAGCCCAAATCCCTATTTTACAGATAAGGAATCCGAGGTGTCCATGGGGTAAGTTGACCATCAGAATCACACAGCCAGCAAGTGGCCATGCTAATCTGAGTACAATTGGAGTTGGAGCTAACGATCCTCAAAACATTTTGTGCTATGTTTTTCTTAGAAAGAAGTTCTAGCCTCCCAAATAGTCTTTCCTATGAATCTGCTGGCTGAAAAAAATGTTCTCTAATTCCAAAGATTTAGTAATTTGTGCCCATGAAGGTCTAAGAGTCAGAGAATTGAAAACTACTGAGGGTAGGGTGAGAAATTAATTTTTACCATTCACCCCTCTTCCTTTTGATAGTTTTTGTTTTTTGTTTGGTACTGGGGATGGAACCCAGGACCTTCACATTGGGCTATATTCCCAGCCAAATTTATATCTTTTATTCTGAGACAGGGTCTCACTAAATTGTCCAAGCTGAGCTTAAATTTCTGATAGTCCTCCCTCAGCCTCCCAGAATGCTAGGATTACAAGCATGCACCCCTACACCTGGCCTTTTGCTAGTTTTCTCTCATGGGTCTATAAATTTAAGGACTAGTCACCAAAAAAAATTCCCACTGAGTACCCAAACTAAGGGACATCTTTGTCTCAATGCTCATTCCTTGTAAAGCCTAGGCCTAGGGGCCCTAGCGAGGCTTCTAGTTCCTTCTCCCTCTCAGCCTGGGACTGAATTATGCATTCAGTTGAGGAATACATAATCAGGAAGAATATGGAGGAATAATGTCCCTTGACAGGACTAGTAGAAACAATTCAGAATTCTCTGTGTAAGCTCTGGCGAAGCTGTGGGCATATAGTGGCTTCTGTAAACAGCCAGGCAGGGCACGCCAGGGGGTGAAAATGCAAAGTAAGGGAGAAAAGAGTTCTAAGGGTGGAACAACAAGAAAGAGAGATGAAGTTCTTTCTGGCCCTTATTATGGAGTTCAGCAGTGGGCAGCTTGTACCCTGGTTGGTGTCTGACACAAATGGAGGTCTAGGTAGCCCCTATCCATTCCCACTGCTTGTCATTTGCATCACCCTAAGAGAAGTGCAGCTTTGTGGTTGTCTGGCTCTACTGTGAATTTGAATTATCGGGGGAGCTTATTAAAGGCAGTTCCTTGGCTCGCTGTCCTGACTTGAGAAATCTGGTTCGAGACCTGAGAGGCCGAGCCAGGACTCACGTGTCTCTGCTCACAGGGTCATTAGAACAAGCTTGGAGAAACTCAATAGCTCAAACATCAGAAAAATAATTTAGTTTTCTTTGCTTACTCTGCAAGAGCTAACTGGAAGTTTAAAAACAATGAACAAAATGTAAGATTGAAGAATATGAAAACTCATGCCGGTGGTAACTAATAGGAACTCAGAGTGGGAACCCGAGCTTGTTATCCTTAGGCTGCTCCGTGAAGGCCACGTGCTAGACTCCGGGTCAGGTCTGGTGTGTTCTTAGACTGTTCCAGGACTCTGAACCCTGAGCCAACCTGTCTTCCTTGCAGAAGGGCAGGCTGAATTGTGACCCCACCTTTGAACTTGAGGAAATGATTCTGGAATCCAAACCTCTTCATAAGAAAAAGAAGCGTTTGGCAAAGAAAGAGAAGGAGATGAGGAAATGTGACTCCTCGCAGGTAACTAAGCCCCCACCACACTCAGGGTGAGCAGTGCGCCCGGGAAGGCTGCCACCCAGCAGGACAATCATCTCAGCACCCTGCTTCTGCCAGGTGGGGGTGGGCCTTATGACAAGGAGCGGGGTACAGCAGTGACCACCAGCCTTGTTTGTTCCTCTGCTATTAAAAAAAGCAATCTGTGAGAAGCAGACAGAGCCCAGGACCTGGAGAGCCCAGTCCTAATTTCCCACTGTGTTTGCAGCAGGCTATGTGCAAGCTACTCTAGAGCAGCTCCCTGCCAAGTGCTTGGAGGAGGATGGGTGCTGGTACTGTGCTCAGAGCAGAAATTGATAGTAATTAACTGCACTTTATCACCCATGCCTTCCCAATGGAAGTTCCAAGGCTTTAATACTCTCCAGAGTTCCAAAATAGTTACATCAGATTTACCAGTACACTTGGATAAGTGGGGAGATTCCTATGCTGCCACCTCTCCGGGAACTTCATTTAATTTCCATTTCAAAAGCTACTTTGGTGTTTATTTTGGGCTACTGGTTGACTAGACAATCTGTAGGTTATTGGCTATTGGAGGATCTTCATTCATCTCTTAACAGTTCCTCTATTTTTTTTCCACTGTTCACCTTGTGAAGATGGGTCTTCTTCAAGAACATCTTGAGTCTGTCCAGAAGGAATTTATAATTTTCAACCGAGAAAAGTAAGTCAGTCCTAGAAGACTAGCAGCTTAGAAAATGAGCGTGTTTCGGGGTTTTAATACATTTGACGGGATTAAATTATTTTTAAACATGTTTATTTTTTACAATGGCACAAATGATGCACATCCATTATGAACTTTTTTGAAAAATTGAGGAAACCTTTTTTTTGTGTAAGGGATGTAAATTGTTTTTAGTAGATGAATTAGCCTAGCGTCAAGTTTTTCTCTATGGGAAAGGCAGAAGATGGTGTACCTACATTTACAATCAATGACTTTTTAAGATTTCCTTGGCTCATATCTGTTTATAAGTTGTTGGGTAGATGCTAACATTCCAAAAAAGCTTAAGGTTTGCATTCTTCTTCTCAAAGAATAAAACTCTTTTTTTCTTTTAAGAGTAAAAAGGGACTTGAATAAAAGACAGGCAGATCTAGCCTTGGAACAAACCAAAAGCCCTCAAGAAGAAGACAGCCAGAACAACAACCTGTAAAGCCCTCGGGGGCTTCTTGGGCATCTCAGGCCAGAAACTTCTGATTGTCCACTCCAAGAAGAGCTGACAGTAGTTCTTGCCACTCCACACCTCATGCTTAGAAACGTGAAGGAACATCCTCCGAAGGATGCGGCATGATCCAGGGACAAGTCCCCAGGCCTGAGGTCCTGGGACCTCGCTTCACTTCTAATTAACTCTGTGACCTTGAGCAAGTCATTTAATCCTCTTTCTGCTTCAGTTCATCCATCCAGAAGGAGAGGGGTTATACCAGCTGAGCTGTACCTTGCCTTTTTACTGCCACAATTGCTATTCTACAAGGCCTTTATATTTTCAAAGAAATATCTGGATGTAGATTTATTTTTCCATTCCTTCTGATTACACTGTGATGAATGTACATTGAATACAGGGAGCTTCCTCAGAGCTAGAAAACTTCCTAAAGAGGTCAGAATTCCAAAGCCTGCTTAGGTAGGAATGCAGCGTTTCACTGGGAAGAAAGGCATTGGGTCAGATTAGAAGCAGCATAGATTTATAAAACCTCTAGTGCTGTGCTGGGGAACCTGTCCATCTCCTGTCAGTAGCTTGAGCTTGGTGATGACGAGAAGATGCCTAACATGGAAATCAGCAAATGCAGCAAATCAGGGCAACTTTTTTCCCCCCTTTCAGCAAGCTAGTTGTTAATATTAGCACCCTGCTTGCTTTCCTCCAGTGATCTTTGAGGGCTGGATGTCCCCTGAAAGTTAGCAGAGATAGGATCTGCAGAGGATTGGAAAATATAGTCCCACTGACAGTATGTTTATTCCCTAGTGTAGGGAAATTGCAAGGATGAGTGTTATATTGTATGGTAGAAGTGAATTTGCCTCAAAGTAAAACTTACCCTTGGAAAATCTCTCAGTTAACCATAACATGTAGGAAGTAGCTTTTCTCAGTGAAGCCTAGCATGGGGAGTTGCACTTCCATAAGGAAAGAAGTCACTGTTTTTGTTTGCTTCTTTAGTTTTTATTATATTTTGGCTAATACTGCAAATGAGAATACTGGGCGAGTTATCCATGACTAGAAGTGTAGAAGTACACTTCGAGCAGGGTTGCCCACACATTTGCGAGGTCAAGTTCATAGCAGCTAAGGGACAGAGGTATCGGGTCTCCTTTCTTCATGCTTATTGCAAGAATGGCAGCCAGAACTACCTATTTGAAATATGACCCTCGCTTTTTCTTCACATGTTATTTATTTGCAAAGTGTAACTCACCTCAGTGTGCATATAACTTCACTATGCTGACACAGAGATCTTTATGGAAGTACTATTTTGGGCTCCCCTCTAATGACACTGGATAGAATCAAAAATGAACAGGCTTTGTGGAGGACTGTATCAGCCTCTTAACAAAAGATCACCTAGACCTGTCCTTGCCAATGCACAGTATGGGCCTCTATGATAGCAGTAAGTTGGCAACAGAGAAGACCAGAACATTGCCTCTTTGGAAAGCCGGATGGGTAGAAATAGACGAGAAAGGAAAGAGAGATGGCTACCCGCCGCTGGAGCAGAGATTTTAGAAGGAGGTCACACTGGGGCAACTGATCATGGATGGAAAGCTAGAGTTGAGCCTAAGATAAGCATTTATGAGTTCATAGGCCCAGAATTTCTGGCCCACTTGTGAAATAAAACCTCTCTGCTTTAACAGCAACCATATTTTTGTTAAAAAACAAAAACAAAAAAGCACTGTGTGATTCCTTTTCTCTCTAGTTGCCACGTGTCACTTGCTTATGCTGTTGTGATTTTTTTCCCTAACACTTGAAGCTCAAAGCACTTGGTAGGATTGACTTTTAGAGAGGAGAATGGGTCTAAGGGCAGCAATGGAAAGGTGACTGAATCCAGCTCCAGACTGGTAACTCCACGTGAGGCCAGAGCCATCTGCGTGGTTGCCCATTTCCATCCTGTGGTCTGCATTTAAACCTTGCTGTGCTGTGGACTCAGGTCTCCTGCTACCTGGTTCTTCCTCCTGCCAGGACCTCAGGTGCAGCCTTAAAGGAGAGTTTTTCAGAAATGTCTACCAAGGCACAGTGGGACCAGCCCGTTCACCACAGTGAAGAGAGCTAATGGTGTGTGCTGTTTCATGTATGAACAGTTGGGATAGGAGCCCACACCATCTCTGCAGTTTGAACCCCTTGTTTTTATCACAAGTAAGATGATTTCTGTGCCTGAAACACGGCTGTTGATTTTTGGAACCATGGACTCACTGCTGAGAGAGCCGAGGTTTGGGGATAAATGGGCCCCCAGGGTACTCAGATGATGGGCCCCAACGCGATTTGAGTTAACAAAGAAAAAGCACTGGGCTGGGTCTGTATCTCATGGGCGGACTGAGTGCCCACATGCATCAGGACCTGTGTTTGATCCCTTACAACACTAAAAACAAAGATGACCAAAGAAAAGAAAAGAAAAACACTCATCGGTAGAATAACTAATTCAAAGCACCTGTGCATTTTAAAGATGCACAAGAAAAACTTTCCAAAACCAAAAAGCCACCTAAATCTTATGCTGATTGTTGTTGAAATCAGATCCATTGGTTTTATTCCACAATTTGGGCCAAAAGTTAATAGCCTGCTGAATGGAACATGTCTCATCTAGATTCCTGATAATGCGCAGAGCTGGGAATTTTAAAAAACAGGATGACAAATGCAATGATTTTGTCTGGCGCTCCTGGAATCTTTTCTCCTGACAGCTCCCACCCTTATCTGCATAGAGCATCTGAAAAGCCTGACCAGGCTTTAAAGGTCAGAGCATCCTGATTACAACCCTCTGGTACTGCAGCAAACCTCACCTTTGGTGCACTCGGTGACCTTGAAAAGATTAGGGGGAGCCAAGCCCCACAGCCCCTGTGGAGTTGCTAACACCACGGAGGAATACGTGGCGCTAATGGATAACACACCCCCCCTGGCAGCACTGGTTGGGCTGAGGTCACTGCTAGGGCAGGAATGAACTTCAAGCAGCACACAGTACTGCTAAAACAATTAGAGATATCTAATTAATTGGTGGTTAGGCTTCATCTACTAGGAGAATTTTAACCAGAAATGACATTTCCTGTCATTATAGCTTTCCTAGATTGGGGGATGAATACATAACCAGGAAGAAAGAGTATTAATGCAGCTATGAATGCACCAGTGTTGCTGCTTGTGGCTGAGGAGTGATGCTAAAGCTTAGGCACTTCAAAAGCTGAATGAACAGGCACAAGAAGTACTGTTTGTTTCAGTACCCAAACGTCCTTGTATTCTGTCTACACAAAATATGGTCTCCTACTTCTGTCTACCTGTGCTCCTTGTTTATGATAAGCTCAGTGTGTCTGGGTGATATTAAACAATGATGTTAAAATCCCAAACTTCACTTTTCTATGCTGTCATACACTGGCAGCCTCTCTGGCCACCTTTGAATGAGCAATGTGCTTCTGTTGGGCTGTCGCATCTATAGTGTAAGTGTGCCTGTGTGCATTAAATGTCTTGTGCAACATTCAACCATCGACCTTTGTCAGCTGTGTGTCTGTATCGTGTATTTTCCCTGGAGGTAGTGTTGAGGGGCCAAAAGTCATCTGTTTTTACTTTCATAACCCGCTGTGAATGTCCCTCAGCACGGAGATAAGGTGAAGTTAGAAAGGGTGCTCTGTAACGTTCAACGCAGCAATCGTGCCTATCAACCTATAGAAAAACTAAAACCCCTGACCCTCCAGCATTCACACTGCAGGGAGCACAGCCTGGGGTCCCCCTTTCTGCCTGTCACTGTGACCTCCACTTCACAGATAGCCCATTAGCCTCTTTTATCAGCACCCTGCCCCTTCGGGTCCTGTCCTGTTTCATACATCAGAACATGACCCAGCAGATGTCCCAACGCCTATGACTGGTGATAGGCAGATAACAGAACACTTGTAACTCTTGCTGCTGGAAGCCGCTTCCACCTTCAGAGAGAACAAAAGGAGCTTTCAGCAAACATCTCAGGCCCACAGTCGCTCAGTAACTGGAGAACCACTGGTTCCTTGGATTTAGCCTGGAATAAGTAGGCTCTTTCGATTCTTGCTGGTCTTAAATTCCTGCATGTTGTCCAGGCCCTGTCAATGACCTGTTGTGTTGTTCTCAGTGGCCAGAGAGTGAAGGGCAGGGAGGGTCTAGAACTCTTTAGATTGTGAAGAGGTCCAACCTTAAATATGAGGATGATCAAAAAATACGGTAAATCTAAATTTTATGTTTGAAAATTTACTACAGCAAAAGACACATTGCCATCAAATCTCTTCAAAACACTCCAAGTTACTTCAAATATACTTATCTCATCTTAAGCAATTCTAGAAGTCTTTTTTCATGAGTGTCTTCAGTTGTGCTGTCCTGGCTACCTTGATGTCTAGAATTGGTTCAAACCGTTTATTTTTCATGGTCATTTTGACTCTGGGGCAGAGACAGAAGTCGCATGGTACCCCGAGTCAGTTGGAGCCACTGAATGAAGACATTCTCATATATATATGTATATCTTTGTGAGACAGGGTCTTGCTATGAAGTTCAGGCTGGCCTTGAACTCACTTTGTAGCCCAGGCTGGTCCCGAACTCACAATGATCCTCCTGCCTCAGCCTCCTAAGTGCTGGGATTACAGGCATGCTCCACCATGTTTGGCTCTCATTCTAATATTTTTGTGAGCCTTTACCCACTGTACTTTTGATCATACCTCATAAAGACACTTGTGAGAGAGAACTTAGCTGCTTGAGAAAGTGGCAAGACTGGTAAGTATGTTGGAAGTGAGGGGGAATAATCTGAAGGGGATTCATGACCATGTGTCCTTTACTGTAATAAAGTTTCTAAAATATAATTTGGTGACACCTCATAGTGATTCACTGCTGAGGGTTGCTCTCTCTCTTCTACCTCCTATTTCCTGGTCATGGTTGATGCCCCCTTTGTGATGGGTTGGGGGTAGGAGAGCTGACTTCAGAAGATTCTTTGGAGCCAGAGGGCCCTTGTTCACATTCAGGGATTTCATTCCTCGCCGTTCAGATGTGACTCAGACGCTGACCTCCAGCCTACACAGGTTTTTCAGGAACATTCTAAAACTATCACCTCATCCCTTTGCATCCTGAGGTCTGTGTAAGTGCCGACTTCTCCCTTCAAGCCTTTCTGAACCCTCAGGAGAGCTGTGGCCCTTGGTCACAGTCAGGGAGAGGTGTTTCACTGGTTCCAAGTTAGAGCCATGAGACTGCACCAAAGTGTATTAAAAATCGAACCTGGAACTTCATCTGTGAAACAACGCTGGATGTGCCCAGGGTGTCAGTTTCTGTGTTAAAACGGACCCTCACTCAGCTTCTGTATCCAAGACACTGTTCTAGCAAACCAAGAGGGACTCGTCACATGGAAGAGCAGTTAATTAGAATCAGCCTCCCCAGGCTCCCTGCCCTTCCCTGCCTGCCCCAGCGTATGCACAACCGGGCTGCACATCCACGCCTGCAGGCCTGAGAACGGTGCCACAGCTGGTGCGGCCTCTGCCTTCCCAGCATCCAACCCCTGCTCGAGTTCACTTTCTTTTCTCTGTGGAGTCACTGAGTCTGTGCAGTTCAGGGCTCAGGCGGCCCCAGCCCAAGGGCTGGCTCTGTGAGTTGGTACAGCCAGCTCAGTGCAGCCACTGGCCACTGTGACCAGTTCATGGTATACACATGACCCAGACCAGAACATGACCCTGGGTCCATCTCTGGCTGGAACTGAGGCTAAGGAAACCCTCTCCTCCTTCTGAGACTCATAAGCAGGAGAAATGGAAACCTAGAGGTGCTGCGGACCAGCTTTGCCTCCACAGGGAAAGGGCTTTCATACTAAGGCATGGCAGGGCTGAGCTGGAAAGAAGCAGCATTCTGACATCTGCCCACATCCATCCCTGAGCTTCCCAGCTGGACTGGATTTTAAATTCTTCCTTCCAAACCTGCACCCTCATCCCCACACATTAGTCCAACCTTTCCAGTGCGAACAGACTTGTACAGATGAGCCCTGGACTCTGCAGTGTCTCCCCACAGGGAAAGTATAGCTGGTTTGATGGGATGTGAAAGATGACGTGGGGTGGAAGGGCTCAGCAGTCAAAAGCTTTGCAAACCCTGGACTGGACTTTTATTCTGTTACTGTTTCTATCACGCTGAGCATCCGGCCCAGGGCCGTGCACTTGCTTCGTGAGCGCACTACCATGGAGCAGTGCCCCCAGTTTTTGTCCTATAGTTTCTCAAAGCCTTTAGTCTGCTGAGATGCACCTTAAAGCTCTCAGAGGAGCAGGCACAGCTAACGATTGGTCTGAACATTCATTTGACCTCTTGAGCTACGTGCTAAACAATAACCTTTGACATGGGTTTAGTTGGAGGATTTTTTGGCCCAAGTCCAGGCTTTTAGAAAGTAGAAAAGCACGTTTACAAAGCAAATGGATAGCACAGCTTTAAGGGATAACAAAGAAAAACCTTATAGGTTCTCTTCTGGACTTGACTAGATTTATTGCAAATGGTCAGGACTCAATATTGACACTAAATTTGATGACTCACAGGAAAATCATTCCCCAATATTTCAGTAATGGATATTGGGCTCTGTGGCCTCAACTAATGACTCAGCCTCAGTGAAAACACAGAAAAAAACACACGAAATTTTCTCCAGGTGACCGCTGTCCCCAGACCTGTGCTTCCAACTGGCAATCTCTTACTGAGCAATTCTGACAGAGTCGGTGCAACGGCGCATCACACACAGAAGACTGGAGACCGATGCTGATAATCTTACAGTTATTTTAATAACCAGGTTTACATGAACAGTCACTTGATGAACTTTTTTTTTTTCTTTAATCTCAGCTAACTCAATACACGGTTTTCTTCACGGTTCAAACCCGACAGCTCTTTGTGTTCGTGAGCTGCCGCACAGCTAGCACAGATCACAGGGAGGGTCACTGTCTGTTCACACCCACCAGACACAGGACGGAACACCCACACACCACTTCTCAAGGGGGAACTCGGGAGGATGCCGGCTGCCCCGACAGACCGCGAGTGCAGCGAGGACTCATGCTGGGCCGGTCTAGGCGCGGGGCCCTGGGAGCCTTGTGGCAGGAAGCGAAGGTGGGAAGTGTCGGCCCTGTTGAAAGGGGCGTCTCACGGTGAGCAGCATGGAGCCCAGGCCGGGGCTTCAGGCTTTGGAAGAAGAGGGTGAGTTTCTGGGTACAGCCAGGGAAAATATCGCCACAGTGAGTGGACTTCGAAATGAAAAGCCATTTGAGGCATGACTATGACCACACTCATTTGTCAGAGTAAAAGGAATCGCTAGTTAGCAGTTCTACAGATAAACTGTCAACTACCCACCCACCCTGCGGCCCCCTCACCAAAGCGCTCTGGCGGGATGAGAAGGTGGGGAAGCTGGGGAGTGGCAGGGCCATCCTCCCGGGGGAGTCAGGCCAGGGGATGAGACAGAGGATGCAGTGCACCCCCCTGCACTTGGGTGACAGGCCAGCAGGTCTGGGAAGAGACGCCACGTTATTTCCTACCCCTAAGCCCTTCGCATAGGGCTGTTCAATGGGTCTATGGAACGGAACAAATTTGGGTATAAATTTTAACTTAATGTGTTACTCAGTACCCGCCTTAAGAAAAGAAGGGGGAGTTTTCTAGGAATCCTCAGGAATCTCTTTGCTTGAACATTTTAATGGCGAGTGAAGGAGGGAGGCTTCCTAAGAGAGTGGGGCTCATCCCAAGGGCACTTTGAGATAGCATGGGGAGCTCACGCAGAACGGAAAAGTTCTGGTTGCATGCTGCTTTTCGGAAGTGCACTGCCGAAGTCCCGAGTGCACTGCCGAAGCGCAGTCGGCCCAAGCAAGACTTATCTTCATGGAATGCGAGCACATGGACGGATGAGCTGGGCTCCGGCCAGTACAGTGTGGATGGTGCAGTCGCGATGCGCACACTACAGTTCATTCACGTGTCTCTTCTTCCACCTGGTGGACATGGCTGGTACTGCACCCTTTCTAAAGACCAGCCTGGCCACTGAGGTATAAGATTCAGCCTCTGTATACAACAGTCATTTTGAGATCCCTGGTAGGCTCTCAAATGTTTGAATCATGAAGTAAAGCTATATTTTTCTTTTTGACTAAAGTCCTCCTGAAAAGAAAAGCACCATGAGACCCTTAAATAGCAAGACTCCCCATGAGAAGATGAAAAAGCCTTCTTCATGATTAGAACAGAAGGTGGCTTGCTAGGGGAACTGCTCTTTCTTAGCTATGTCTACATTCTCATTAGCTAAACGATCACTTTTCTCTGATCTTTAGTTCATTAGAACCTGCAGTCAGGGCTGGGGCACAGCACAGCGGCAGAGGGTTTGCCCAGCACATGCAAGGCCCTGGGTTTAATCCCCAGCATCAGAAACAGAACAAAAAACAACTGCAGCCAGAGGCAATGGTTTCTCCTAAGCACTTAAAAGGTGTATGAGGCCTGCTCTTCGCTTCAAAGTACTTAGTACATGGGGTTCCACCCGCTGGGTTCCCCAGGGCACAAAAGTCTGAGCCCAGGCTTAAGGTGCTCTTCCTGCGTAAGGAAGGCAGTGTCTCAGTTCTGCTCTCCACCCCGTGGCTCATTCAGAATCTGCTCCAAAACTGAGTTTTCAGAAGTGGCCTGATAAGGAAATGGACACTCAGCACTACCAGACAAGTGATGCAAACGCTCCACTAATCCCCTTCCCACCCCCCTCAGGAAACCACGTCATGTCACGGGTCACTGTGACTCACTCTGGGATTTTGGTACCAAAACCAAGGTTCCCCCAAGGATCTGCTAATGCAGGAGGAAACAGATGGCTTAGAGCTGATAAGCGGAACCAGGCTTACAGAAAGCACTCTCTCTGGTTAAGACTGACTTTCCCAAATCTCTGCTTGATTCCCATATAAGTTGAGACTACCTATTAGTAGTAAAAGTTAGGGAACTAAAGAAAAATTGATTAAAAAATTCTATGCCGTTGCTGATGTGCCTGGATCTCAGCAGAGCAAGAGAACCCCGTGCCCACCATTGGCAGCAGAGGTCCTTCACTTGCCCATCTGAGCTAAAGTCCCAAGGCAGATGCCACCCAACGGCCTCCCCAGCACCTGGTAGAGGGAGGATCATCTCGGCTTCTGCTGCCCTCCGCCCAGGAGCCTGTGCTGTGTCCTCAGTTGTTGATTTTTAAGAGCACCGAAGAGGCAGGGAGGATGAGAGGAAGAGATGATGTATCATTTGCTCCTCCTTATCCAACCTTCCCCACCCAGGAAGGAGGAGGATTTGAAAGCAACACCGAGAAAGAGGCCCAAACAAACGCTGGCATAATCAAGCAGGTGGGAGAACTGGTTGGGTTTTTGGTGTTTTAATAAACGTTCAAAGAAACAAAATCTACTAGGGAGGGACGTGACAAATCCAGAACCCAAAGACTAGCCTACCTTCTCTGCAGACTCTAGGGGACCTCAGTGACAGCTGCCATTGGTGGCCCCTCCGTGGAAATAAACGTGCATCATCAACACAGTACACAACACCCCTTCTGCTCACCCGGCCCACCCGCCTCCCTCCTACACACCCGACCCCGTCTCCACTGTGCCCTCCACCTCGCGCTGGGCTCCCACCACCCACTCGCCCCAAATAACCTGCGTCCCTTTTGTCCATTTCCCTGACCTCCCAGCTTGTCTGTCCCCTTGTCGTAAGATGCGGCACTACACACGCTCTCAACACTAGAATATAGCAGACTCTTTTACCTTAGTGGCCTGTCTGATTGCATGCATGTAAATGGGGGCGGGGAGGGTCCAACAAATCAAGGCTATGCATAAACAGAAAACAAAGCAATATTCGTAAAGCTAAGCAAGCGAGCTTAACATGGAGAAACATAAGGCTTGAGGCTTATTGATTCTTTAGATCGCAACCGTTTGGACTTGCTTTCCTTCTTAAATATTGGTGTACCATTTTGGCTTCAGAAAAATCTCATCTTGCTTCTGTCCCCCCTTTGGGGAGAGGGTGCTTAACTCAGGGATGTAATGTTAGAGCGGCCTCCAGGGGGCGCTACGATGCGCTTGCTGGCTGAACGGACCCCCTCATCCACTTGGGTGCCTGTAGGTACAAACCCCCAGAGGGGAGGGAAGAAAAAACAAAAAAGGTAAGGAGTGGAGAGGGATATGAGCAAAAGAGAAACTGATTAATTCTAAGAGTGTAAGACACTAAGCGCCTTCCCAATGTGTCATCTCCCAAAAAACTTATACCAAACCTTGAATTTTTCATATTTATTCTCCCCTTCGGGAAGAGAACTACCTCCTGCAAGGAAAAGCCAAGTTCTTATCAAGATTTCCTCTGACCCTCAGCATGGTAATAATAGTAAGAAAAGGAACGAGAAGGATGTAAAGCACAGCTCCTTTCATGAACTGTGGCGGTGATGTTTCAAGAATTCAACCATTACGTCCTTTCACCCCCACCCCCAGGCGCTGCTTCCCTGCTCCTGCTGCGGCTCAGGGAGGGCAGGGCCGGGACTCAAGGAGGCCAGGCACTTGCTTAAGGCCTCCCAGCCGGAAGTGGCTCCTCAAAAGGAAGCAATGTGCTCTTGGGTCCGCTCAGAATGGAGTATTTAGAACCCAGGGAGCAGGGCAAACGCTAAGCATTAAAACACCCACAAAAGCTGCTCGGAATCAGCAGGATGAGACCTCGGTAAAGTTACCCCAAAACCTTGAATGCTCTGTCACTTTCCCACCTCTCTTATCCTTTTCTTCCCGTTTCTTCTCTTTCTCATTCCCCTTCCATTCCCTATATGCTGTAATTTTTGACTTGAATATATCTTTTCTGGTTATCTCGCTTCCCTTATATTTAAACTGTTCATGATCAGGATACAAATCTATCATTATTCCCTGTGTTAAGACTATTGGCTATGGTGCAACTGAGCAATTCCATTTCATTTATCTCAGAGCGTTCTTAAAAAGAATAAATAAAATTAAGGAGTAAGCCATGGTGAATATTCAATCAGTGGAAGCTTCTGTTAGCATTATTACTAGCATGGAGGGGAGAATACAGCAAAAATCCTCGGCTAGAAGCATCGAGAAATTTGAGCAGAAGAATGATGCAAGCCTTCCTTTAACCAGTGCAAGTTTAAAAGCACACAAAATATATACTGCATAGTTCTCACAGGTTAGCCTAGAAAATCATTTTTGATTCAGAGTGAAAACCAGCTCCCTTTCCCTGCCCCCAGCCAGGTCTGGTCTCTCAGCAGCAGCTGTCATCATTTGGCCTGGGTCTCTAACCTGCCTGTGGCTTGTCTGACTTTTTGACCTGAGCCTTTGCCGCCTCAGCAAACCCTCCTGCTTCCCCCTGTGACCTCCCTTAAAGATGATACCAGCTCTGGGCTGGAAAACGAGATCCAGGAAAGCTCACAGGATCACCCTGTGCCCCCGGAGAACTGGTTTTCCCCTTCCCACTTCCCTCTCCCTTGACCAGCTTGTCCCACTCACCTGACAGGCTAAAGCCCGACTGATGGAGATTCCTCACAGGTGGGTTGGGTCGGGTGGGAGAGCCCCGGGTAGAGCCCGCAGGGGTGCCCCCTTTGGGGGTGGTGGTCAGGTCAAACACGGGCCCATCATACATGCCCCTCGGGACGGCATGCAGGTCTGCCATCTGCGGCCAGAGAAATGACATGTCACCCCTCATTTATTCAATAGTTTAGGGCCTCCTTATGTGTGCAGGAAAGCAGAGAATGGTACTGATGAAAGTACTTTAAGGAGGGGAGAAACAGTATACAATAAAGAAAGATGTCACAATTGGATTGAGATGGAGACGGCCCATGAGACTCTTCCTGAGTTGATGAGCTTCCATCTGCAGGACCAAAGGACTGTGATATGGGCTTGGGCTCTGGGGAGGGAGGAGGCCTGGGGAGACGCAGAGGAGCTGTGTGTGGGGGATGTAGCAGACAGAGGGCACACAATGCAGGTCTGAAGGTGAACCACTGCGGACAGGAAGGACTAGCGGCCCGGGGCTAGGAGAGCATGGGGAAAGGCAGCAGGCTGAGCCGCGATCACACATGCTGGCTGTGAGGTGGGGCTGCGTGGGATCTTCACCCTCACGCTCTGTGGCTCAGATCAACATGGGCAGGCGCTGACATGAGACTGCTGACCTCTGGCTGTGGCTGTGAACCTGACCTGGGGCTGCAGAGCCAGCCTGCAATGTAACCGGGCGCCTGCTCTGCGCTGGGCACCATGCCAATCACTGGGTGCACGGTCACGTGGAACACAGTGGCTTCTCCACTGGGGCTTTCGGCCCATCACACAGCGCAGCAAGACCACCCAGGGCCGGAGCACAGCCAGCACCCGACCTCCAACGCATGTGATCACTGGCCAGTGCTCCTGGGCTCGGGCCGGGCCACCACAAGGCCCCAAGGCACCCTGCCGCTGCGCCCTCCTGCAGGCTCCTGACTCAGGCACAGGCACAGAAGCCGAGCTCAGCAGACTCACAAGGACAGCGACTCAAGAGGGATTTCATCGCACCAACAACTCTAGAGCATCGGCATTTCTTTACTTCTAGAGTCCAAGTTACGTGAATGGAAAGATGAGGTAGATCTAGGGAGCTGAGCTCCATTCCCTTCTCTCTCAGGCTGACACTGGCGTGTGGATCTGGTCTGACCTTGCTGGGTGAAGCCCCCCCATTACAGCAAGGGGACTCGGAGATGGGAGATCTGCCAAGGAAGTGGTGATCATCAACCTTCAATGAATTGGTGCCATTCTGCATGCACGCATGTGTGTGTACATGTGTGTGCCCGTGTGTGTGTGTGTGTGTGTGTGTGTGTGTGTGTGTGTACAAAATCAGGGACATCAGTAAGACTGTATCTGAACCGCAGTAGCGAGCAGTTGTAAGCGTGAGCCCTACAGAAGAGCCCTGGTCAGGCTGGGACAGGGACTGGTGGGTATGGACTATTGGTTCTTGCTTTAAACCTTCCTCCAGGGGATTTTTGAGAGCTTTTCATCTATTTTTACAAAGACTATCACAGATGATTCAAACTGTACATTATTTGGAATATAAAACGTGAGGAAGTGATTTGGAAAATAGCCTGTTTTCGAAACTCCCACAACACATTAAGCGCGTGCTGGCTGCTCAGGACGAGCATTTTGCCGGGTTGGCTCTGTGAGCGTCTAGAGGAGACCGGCCCAAGGTCCTGGGGTCACCGCGCCTGAGCCAGCACAGGACACGCGGGCCTCGCCCCGCAGGCTGAACCACCTCTTACCCTCCTCCTGGCTTTGATGCGTTTGTAGACGTAGTCCGAGAAGGGGCCGCAGGGGGTGAAGCGGCCAGCCCCCTGGGTCACGTGCAGGTTGCCGTCCTCCAGCATGATCTTGCCCTGGCAGATGACGACCAGGGGCGCGCCACGCAGCTCCATGCCTTCGAAGATGTTGTATTCTGCAGCCTTGGGGGGAGGTGGGGGGAGGGCAGGGGACAGGCAGAGGAAAGGCAGAAGAACAGCGGTCACAGTCTGTGTCTGGCAACCTGCTTTCAGTCGCTAGAAACTAGGTCTGCAAGAAAAACTCACAAAGAGAATCTGCAATCTTTCAGTGGACAGAAGGGACCAGGAGGCTGGCACTCGCCGGGAAGGACTGGCCTTCTAGCAAGGTGTGCAAGCGGAAGTCCACCTCCGCGGCCAGCGTTCCGAGCGCAGCGGAGTACCGGGGAGTCCCATGCTCCCCAGTGTTACACGAGGGGCCCTACAGCCCACGGTCCCCACTCGCTCAGAATTACATGGGATAAGACACAGTGTGCCAGCATCACCCAAAACGGGTCTCTCTGCCTCCTTCCCTGACTCAACAAAGGGGAGACATCCCTGCAGAGTGGCTGGAAACGTCAGCTGGGAGTCGGGCTGTCCGGGTGTAAACGCTGCATTTGCCCCTGGCCGGCTGCTCAAAGCACAGCGCCTGAAACATTTCTCACTAACGCGTAAGAAGCTCCTGTTGTATATGCTGAGGTCTGGTTATTATTCTGCACATGGACGGGAAGAGATGAGAAAAACAGCGTTTCCCTTCTTGCAAAACAAAGTACTGAGGCTCAGAAAGCCTCAGGATGAGCAGGGAAGGGTGGCCTATCAGCCTGTGCCAGCCCTGTGAGAGCAGCGCCCTCTGCTGGGCATCCACTGGGCAGGCAGGAGCGGGGTAGACAGGGTGAGCTCCAAGCTGCTGAGACCAGCCTGCGCTAAGCACACCCACACACCCACACACCCACACACCCACACACCCACACACCCACACACTCACAACCCGCTTCACCTCACGGATGGGGCCGGCACACACTCCCGCCTCCCGCACCGTCCCGCCGCCCACCGGCCCGGTCTTACCGACTGGTGGTTCTTAGCAGAGACGATCTTCACGGCATCTGGATCCCAGATGACCAGGTCGCTGTCAGAACCCACGGATATTCTCCCCTTGCGCGGATAGAGGTTAAAGATCTTGGCAGCATTTGTGCTTGTCACGGCCACAAACTGGTTTTCATCCATTTTTCCTGTGGCCTAGTGGAATACGGAACATTCTGTATGTGCATCCGACCCCTGGCACCTACCTCGATCAGCGCAGGGCTTCTGCTCGCAGAGGCAGATGTCCTCGATCGCAGCCCTTGCCCAGCCCGGACCAGCAACCCGGGGCTCAGTGGGGTTGCAGAGCTCCCACGCATTGTGTGTGTGTGTGTGTGTGTGTGTGTGTGTGTGTGTATGCGCGAATGTGCAAGGTCTCATCTGAGTTATAACAAAGGTCATCCCCACACTGCCCAATTATGAGATTTGTGCTTTCTTTCATGGAAGTGCTTGGGTTTCCAAGTGTTCTTTATTGAGGATGTATCATGGTGGCAATTAAAATACACAGCTATGTGTCACTTAACGGGGGTGTTCTGAGAAGGGCGCCAGTGGCAGCTCCATCATCGTGTGGATGTCACAGAACCTCAGTGTACACAGCACAAACTAAGACCACGGTGCTAAAACTAGGCAAGAAGATGTCAGGTGCCCCTTATGTAGTTCATTATTGGCTGAAACATTATTACGTAACACAGGAGCGTATACGTTACCCTTTAACAAATTCCAATAGTGCTAGGATACACACATACATATATTCATAAGTATAAAATTATGAAAAAAAGATGAAAGCTAACCAGGTAAGAGAAGAGGCAAAAAAATTGATCTTTTCTACTTCTTAAAATGAAAGGTCTGAGTAAAAAAAGACTTGAGTTTAAAATCTAGCTCTGAGCTCCCCAGGAGGCAAGGAGAAAAAAGTCTGGGTGGCTTAGACTATGAAGAGGAATGAGACCTAAGTGCACGCCCATTCTCTTTGGTGCTGAAAACAGAAAAGCAATCAGCATCACAATGAGTTTATTGTTAATTTCATTACAATCTTCCCGAGAGTCTTTGGTTTCCTTGGCTGTTGCTTTTATCATCCCTCATGATGTGAGAAAGGAAAAGAAAAAGCGGCCTCTGTGCCAGAAGACACTGAGAGCCGGTATCTCAGAGAGCCGCATGGTGTGTCCTCAGTGTAGGGTACAGCTGAGGGGCAAACTGACCTGAGGCACAGACTCTTTGCTTAGCATTTCAAAAGCACCGTTTCTAGCCCTTTCTAAAGAAGTCATAAAACTCTCAAAAAATAGTTAATTCCCTGGTATTCAAAGCACAGATTATGCATACAATCTGTGAAGGAGCTGTATGTCTGGGTCCTAGTTGCTCAGATTCCAGGTGTGGAAACCTCTTTACCGTCCTGGGCCCTGGCATTCATCACTGGGAGGTAGATTCCCAGGGCAGCTGAGCTGCCCTCTATGCGCATCTCAGCAGGTGTGCAAAGCACCGGGCCGTCCGTGTCCTCACCAGCCCTCAGAGGAGCAGCAGCTCTGGCTGGGTTGGTACCACAGCCTGTGATCTGGCCCGAGGTTATCTGGTCCCCGGCCACCCACCCTGGACCTCAGTCCCTCACCACAGCCTTGTCCCAGATGACAGACATCCGCTCCTCCACGCCGTTGGTGCCCTCGGGGATGGCTGTGAAGTTGTCTTTGCCTATGGCTTTCTGAGCAGTGCTGAAGGTGCAGTGGGCACTGCCTGACAGTTGCAGGTCACCACTACAAAGGAAAAATGTGCCCTGTGAACGGGGGCATGGTGGGGCACATGGGGAGACCAGAATCTGCTGTCTGACTACTTCGGTTTGGAACCCCTGAGGGGCCGTGTGAGTTTGGGTGGGTTTCCTACCCTCTCTGGGCCTAGGTATCCACCTGGAAAATGAGGGGGTGGGATCATCTCTTTGTGAGCAAAATAAAAAGGACTTAAATGAGTGATGGCCTGATCCTACATGTCCACTGGGGGCGGTAACAAATAAGTCTTCCTATAATTTTGGCGAAGAGTCATCACGAACACCTATGTGAATTTAGGCAAATCATTTCAGCCCTTTGACTTTCAGTTGCTCAATCTGTCAAGTGGCAATAATACTGCCTGGCTTGTAAAGTTATAATGGAGAAAAAATGAGGTCACGCAGGCACTAATCGCTGTGAGCATTACGAACATTATTATTGCGCAGTTTCATTAGAAATCAGAGAAGGAAGAGCTTGCTTTTCGTGCCCCAGGCTGCGGGAGAGGGCCCTGCAGACAGAAGTGCAGTGGGCGGGTGGGTTGCCCAGCCCCACGCCAGCTGGCCCCAGGTGTTCCCACAAAGCGCCTGCTGCCTGGCATTCTTGCACCCACCTGGCCAGCAAGGAGTTGATGTAGTCAGGGGTGGTTGGGTCAGGGCTCAGAGGTGGGGACGTCACGAATGCAGCCGCCTTGGCCCAGTTCTTGCTCCAGTAGTGGGTTCCATCTATGCCAAGGCTGGCAGTGATGGGCTCACCAAAGACCACATTTCCTGGATGGGGGAGGAAAGAGGAACAGGTTTGCACGGCTCCGAGGCCTACTGCAGGCTATGTCTCTGAAGTCAGGCAGACCTGGGCTCAAGTTCATGCTCCCACCTTTTTAAAAAACTTTAAGTTTATTGGAACAATTTAGGTCTATACCATGATCATATTCATTGCAGGGAGTTTGTACCTATACGCAATATATTCTGCTCTGCCTTTTCTTCCCTTCCCCTCCCCCTCCCTCTAATCTCTCTTCCCTTCCTTATTTACAAAGCTTTGTTTCCACTTTATTCTTCTCTCATTTTTTCTTTTCCCTTCTTGCCCCCCATTCTCCTTTCAAGCAATTTTTTCCCATTTCTCCATATTTCTTGTACAATTTGTTTCTTATTTATACTTTCAGTTTCTCACACCAGTGAAACAGTGTGATATTTGCACGTGTCTGATTTATTTCACTTGTGGTACAGTCTCACAGTGAATCCATTTAGCAATAAATGTCTCCAGTTTATCCTTCCTTATGTGTGAATAGTATTCTATTATATAAAAAAAAACTTGTATCTTTTTTATCCATTCATCAGTTGACGGGCATTTGGGTTGTTTCTAAGACTTAGCTATTACCAACTGTGCCACTATAAACATGGTGTGGAATGATGCTTTTAATTCTTTGGGGAAAATACCAAGAAAGGGGATAGCTGGGTCAAATGGGACCTCTAGCCCTAGTGTTGTGAGGAATCTCCACACTGATTTCCACAGTGGTTGCACCAGTCTACACTCCCACCAGCAGTGGAGAAGGGTTCCTTTTTCCCCCCATCCCTGCCAGCATTTGTTACTAGTTGATTTTTTGGTAATAGACATTCTTTCTGGGCTGAGATGGAATCCCAGTGTTGTTTTAATTTGTATCTCTCAAGTGATCAGTAAGGCTGAACATTTTTTCAGATATGTACTTACTGCTTGTATTTCTTTATTTGAGAAGTGTATATTTATCTAAGATGCCCATTTTTGGATTGGGTCTTTGAATTTAGGGGATCTGATTTTTTTCAGTTCTTTGTATGTTCTAGGTATTAGTCCTTTGTCTGAGGAGCAACTGGCTAAAATTTTTTCCCAATCTGTAGGTTGTCTTTTCACTCTCTTGGTGATTTCTTTTGCTCTGCAAAAGCTTTTTAATAAGGTGAGACCCCAGTTGTTGGTTCTTTGCAGTACTTCCCAAGAGATCTGGGTTTTGTCCATGAAATCTCTTGCTGTACCTATGTCTTTCAGAGTTCTACCTATTTTCTCTTCTGGCAAGTGTAGGGTTTCCGTTTTAATATTTAGATCTTTGATCCATTTTGATTTCAGTTTAGTGCATGATGATAGAAATGGGTCTAGTTTTAGTTTTCCACATGTGGAAAGCCAGTTATCTTTCTTCCAGTTCATGTGTTTGGCCCCTTTGTCAAAGACAGGGTGGCTGAGTGTGCTTGAAATTGTTTTTGCATCTTCTGATCTGTTCCACTGATCCTTAGGTCTGCTTTTTTTGCCATTATCATGCTGTTTTTATCACAGTATATTTGTTGGATAACTTCAAGTCAGGAATTGTGATGCCCCTTCCCTGCCTTTGTTGCTCAGAATTGCTTTCGCTATTCTATCTCTTCTGGTTCCAAATGAATGTCAGGAATGTTTTCTCTAGTTCTGTGAGATATGCTAATGGTATTTTGATTGGGATTGCATTAAATCTGTATAACAACTTTGGGAGTATAGCCGTTTTCATTATGGTGGTTCTTTCTACCCAAAAGCAAGGAATATTCCCACTTTTTTTTAATTTTAAAGAGAATAAAAAATAAGAAAAAAAAAACAAAAACAATACAGAATTTCAAAACAAGATGACAGGAAATTAACAATGGTTGTTATATTGTATACTGTTATCTTCAAAGTAGGTGCTCAGATTACCAGATATAGGTATGCAAAATTGATCAAACAATTAAGAATTAACTAACTGTTCCTTTCAATAAGCCAATAGAAATTAGTAGTACAATTATCTTAGCTATCTCGTGTGTGTATATATAAAATTTTTTCTCTTCCTTCTTTCTTTTTTCCTTTTTCCCATCCCAGTTGTTCTTTCCTTTCGAGCACTTTCTTTCCCTTTCACAATATCTATTGTACCTTTCAGATTTTATTCACTCTTTCAGGTTCTTACGCTAGGGAGGCAATATGATGTTTACACATGTGAGTCTGATTTATTTCACTTATGAGTATGGTCTCTAGCTGCATCCATTTACTTATAAAAGCCTTGAGTTTATCTTTCTTTATGGCTGAGTAATACTCTATTGTATAAAAATACCGCATCTCTTTTATCCATTCCTCAGTTGATGGGCATTTGGGTTGTTTCCAAGATTTAGCTATGACAAATTGTGCTGCTATAAACATGGGTGTACATGTATCACTGTGGTATCATTTTTTGTATCACTGATGTTTTCAATTTTTCTGGAAAAATACCCAGAAGGGGAATAGCTGGGTAGAGTGGGACCTGTAATCGAGTTTTTTGATGAATCTCCACACTGATTTCCACAGTGGTTGCACCAGTCTTCTGCAAAGTGAAATACATTCCTATGGGTCAGAGGCTCTCGTGACCTTAATTAGCATGTTTTTGCTTCTTAACCTAAAGCAAAAAGTGACTTGCTCAGGGAGAACCCATAGCCTGGGTACATCATGGGGCTGGCTTCTTGGTTTCTGGGCCAGGAACCAGTGGCTTAAGTGAAAAGAGGCGAGGATGGACACAGGGAAGTACACTGATCTAAGCTCTTGCTGAGCTTCTTCACAAGGAGGGATAGTAGCACAGAAAGCAACTGCTGCCTCACAGGTAGTAGCTGGTACCCAGCTTCTCCACACTGGTTAACTGTGGGTCAGGGATGCCCTGCACAGCCCTGGGCTCCTTTGTGTTGGTCCTTGGTTCTTCACTGTCAAGATTCACCCAGGTCAAGCTCCAAGAGTCTCTAGGGCAGGATTATAAAGTTTCACCTTGTTTCAACTCCCTTCAATTGCTCAATAACTGGAATTCCAGGTAGGAAGGAATTCTAATAATGCTTCCTGTCTCACTAGAAAAGACTCCTGACTCATCAGTAATGTCAGCTACAGACAAAAGAAAGAAGCCCTGGTAGTAGCTGCCATGTGGCAGCCTTGCTTTACCAAGAGGTGGTAACAAAAACTGATGTGTAACTAATGAGGATTTCATGCTGTCCAAAAATATTTCCCAAACTACAGCATCCAAGGCCACAAAGAAGTGAAGAAAAAAGAGTCAAGGCAAGCACTCAACTACTATCCAAAGAAATACAACCTTAAAAGTGGATGACTGGTCCCTCTGGACTATGCGTTGTACAGCAGAGCAGAAAGCAAAGACTGCCATTATACTTGGGTTTGAACCCTAGGCCTCATAGCTGGGAGACCCTAGTCAAGTTGCACTCCAGATTTCTTCTTCTGAAATAGGATGACAGCAGCGCCCACATTATATGCCTTGTTGCTGAGAATTCTATACAATCAGTGCTGGGTATCGTGTTGGTCCTCATTAAACTGAAGCTCTCTAGTTCCAATTCTGAGCAGCCATGCAGAGTTCTTCACGGGTCAAGGCTGCTTACTTTCCTCTGGAGTTAAACAGAAACATGGTGTGGAGGGAAGAGCAAGCCCTGCTGCCCTGTCTTCCTGCTCGGAACGCTCGACTCCTTCCCTGAGAATGGCGGCCTGAGATGTTTGCTGGCTTCAGTCTCAGCAGCCAGTGTTTCATCACTGAAAGAAAACATCCCTCCACCCTGGAGACACAGCTGCACTAGTTCTCCCTGCCAGGGAATCGTGAGCCAGAAGACTAAGGGGAGGAATTTTTCTCCATGAACTTTGAAATAAGACAAGCATTCAGCTGAAACACCCCATCCTCAGAGGTCTCCAGGTCATCCTGAGGGTGGGTTCCCAGCACGATGCAGCCACCAGCTGAGTGTGAGTATGCTGGGTGGTCCCCGCTCAAAACGGGAGCGTTCAGGGTGGGGTGCAGTCCCTGCACAGCACCCCCCCATTTCCTTTCCCCAAGAATGGGTAAGGAACATTGCTTTCCTGGTTCTCACCCAGTGACTCATGCACAGGGGAGCGACCCTGCCATGTCAGTTGAGGCACTTAAATGCTGAGACAGAAAACAGCAGCCTTCCATGAGCATGGTGAGGTCGGAGATACCCCTGAACCTGCCAGCTGGGCCTGGACAGTTAGGAAGATTCCCCTTCAATAAGGAGAGGGTGGCCCTCTGCCAGAAGGCCAGGCAGCTGACAAGCAGCTGGCAGGGTCAGCTGGAGCTATTCCCGCCCCAGCCACCCACATGTGGATTGCACAGGGCCGTCTGGCAGATGAGTCCCTCATCTTGGCCTCTCCATTGCCAGGCTGGCTGCTGACACACAGCGGTCATGACGGCGGGACTGGGCCTGGTGAATCCTCCTCCACACCCAGACACGCAACGTCCATCTCCAGTTTCTCAACCATCCTACTCACTTATCTCACAGAGTTGAGCCCATTCCTTGGCCATGGAGGATGAGAACCAAAAAGAGAGAAGAAAGCTCCAACATGGGAGCAAACTTTAGCTGGGCATAAGTAAGGAGGTGAAGATCAAGTTACCAGCAGTGGAGAAATGAATCAGAAGGCGGAAGGCAGTGGGCATGGGGCTTGTGCTATGAGGGCCATGGTGGTGGACATCTTTTGAAGACCTATTCATCCCGTCTTCCAAAGTCACCCACGCTAACCTTTGCGGTCAGCTGGGGTGACCTAAACTGAGTCCTGCCCGCCATTCTGGCTCGACTGCACCATCATCCCTAGGGCAGCCTTTGGATCAGGGAGGAGCATGCGACCCAAGCAAAGGCAACCCCAGTGCTCCTGGCATCTATCCTTGTTACTGAGCACAAGGACAATAAAGTCCCAGGGAAGAAAGGGAGCCAAGAATGGAATGAGAGTGATAGACACCTTTGTTAAAACCCCTCAGTGTAGGGGCTGGGGATTTAGCTCAGTGGTACAGTGCCTGCCTGGCAAGTGCAAAGTCTTGAGTTCGATTCCTGGTACTGGAAGAAAAACAAAAACAAAAACAAACAAAAAAACCCCTCAGTGTAGCCAGGCATGAATACCCACAACCAATCATTGGCTTCTGTTTACTCGTTTAAGTAGTTTGGGTTGCATCTTTGACTTTGGTATTCATAGTAATCTGGACTAGTGTGTGCTCAAATAATGTGAACTGGAAATGAAAGGTGGAAAAGAGGAGAGATGCTGCATCAAGTCTTAGTAATCTGTTCAGGCTGTGTCATCCTAAGCAAGTCACTGAGCCTTCCTGAGCCTCAGCGGGGAGAACCTGTGGGTCCTGGTGTGTGCTGAGGTTTCCTAGTGAGCAAGGCAGTGAGCAAAGCAGGTACCATTTATATTCTACAGACAGCCAGGGAGGGAAGGGAGCAGACAGTGTGCCAGGGGCCCCTAGAACACCTATTACCTTTTTTCCTGGCTTGTGAGATGAGATCAGCTGCACTCTTGCTCATGACCTTTGTGATGTACAGGGGGCAGTTGGTTTGACTGGCAATGGTGATGGCACGGAACACAGCCTCAGCTTCCAGCTGCAAAAAACAAAACACCCCCCAAAACCAGGAGTCAACAGGAACCTGAGCTCTCACCCTGGCCGCTCCTCCACCTCCACACAAGGTGAGACCACAGTGCTGTGCAGAAGTTTAAAACCTAGAAGGACCTGCAATTAGACGCCTGGACCTGCATCTCAGATCTGTCACCTCCTAACTCCGTGCTTTACTTAGCTCCGCGGTGCCTTTATCCCTCACGGGGAAAACGGATAAGAGGAACAGCACAGGGCTGGGTCTGAGGGTGATGCCTGGCACTGACTTAGTATTGATTCGCTGTCCACTCCAGCTCTCAGCTCTCTCGCGCCTCTCCCTGTGCTTATCACAAAGGCTGTTCTTGAATGGGCATCCCTGCTTCCCAATATTCTCCAGGTAGATTCTCTGAGAAATCATCAAGGGTAGAATAACCAGTAAAGGCAATTAGGCATCAGAGCTCCTCCAACTGTTTCCTCAAGCAAGAAGTGGCCCACAAAGGTGCATTCTGGGAAGCATTTTTTTTTTTTTAATAAAAATAACCTCCAGGCTTCTCAGCACAAAGACTTCTTTATTTTTGATTTCTTCCATCCCACCCTCATGTAGAATTCATGTTTTCCAATTTGCTTCTTAATCCAGTTGCATTTATTAAGCAACAAGTAATGAGCTTCCCCTCTTTTATTAATAAAAGAGGGTCTGGGAGCCCAGGGTGTCTCAGATGGCACAGTTATAGTCGAGTGACCTCAGGTACATTACACAACCTCCCAATGCCTCAGTGTCCTCGTCTGTAAAGTGGGGATGCTAACAGGACTTGACACTTAGAACTGCTGTGAGGATTAAAAGAGTTAGTTCTTGCAAGCAATCACCTGGTTTCTGGGATAAGTCAAGGGTCTCTTGAAGTGGCAGCGGTTGGTCTTGTTGCTGATCAGTTTCTGACCAGTGTGAATCTGTTCTTACTGAAAGCCGCAAATCAGCCCCATTCAGCCTAGAGCACAGACACTGGCATTTTTCCATTCAATCACCATCAGTTCCTTTTTGTGTGAATGTGACTTTCTGGTTAGCCTGTGTAGCCCCATGCTTAGAAAAACACCAAAATAGCTTGCAGACGCCCAGCGGTTGTCTAATGCAAACCAGTCCCTGCCTGGGGCTCAGCAGACTGGCTCTAGAACTTGGTGGGCTGAGCCAGCGGCCCCCAAGCTGTATTTTATTTGGTGACGACAAGGCCCAGTGGGGTCCCTGAGTGCAGCTGAATACAAGCCGCCCCTATGCACCCTGGCTCCACTCTCAGGTTCCACTCTGAAGAGCAGCCTTGCAGAGGGATCCTGGGGTGCTTTGAAAAGAGAAGGGCTGGCTCCTCCCTGCCCCTCCCTTCCCCTTCACACCTTTGCTGATCATGTCAGCACCCCCATGACCTCAGCTGCGGCCTCTTTGACCTCTCTCCCTCCCAGCGCTGCAGGTGTTTCTGCACTTCCACAGCGCGGCTATCTTGGGAAGGTTACCTCACCCTCAACTTCACCCGAAAGGGCTTCCAGGGATGTAGAGACTTGCAGCTGAGAGACTTTTTTTTTTTACTAAAAAGGAGACAGGAACCAGGAGAATGTTGGGAAGGGTGGGGTGGGGGGAGGTTGAAAAAATAAACCAAGGAACAAAAATAGACTTTGTTCTGAAATCCCCTGGCCGCTGCTGAAATCTATCTTGCCAGCACATCTCTCCAGTGACCAGCACATACAGAGTTCCACAAACAGCGCTGATCATCCTGGACTGCTCACACTGTGGACGATTTTCCAGTTCTTCAAACACGATCAGTTGAGCTTCAGGTTCTTTACCTGGGCAATAATGTCAACCGGCTGGAGCAGCAGTAAGTAAGGATAACCGAAATAATGTGTGCAGTGAGCACGGTTCCAGGTGTGCATACTGTGTGAAGTCGGACTGTTCAGGAACGCCATGACACAACCTTTACAAGTACTTTAATACAAGCTCCTCAATTTTTCTTTCAAATGGCAACAAAAATATCAGTGGACACTGGGAGTTTCTGGGGAGCTGAACACATTCTGTGTTGCTGCTGGGTGCTACTTATGCACATCTATTCAGTTTGTGAAGATTCACTGCATCCTGAGGATGACAGCGTTTTTCTCTGTGTGTCATACTTAATTGTTAAAAAGTCTCTGACACAGCTGGGCTATGGAACCCAATCTTTTCTGGTTCTGGTTCTTTTATCTGTGGTAGAGTTTGGAATGACCATAGAGCAACAGGATTTGCTTTCCTGATTCAAAGGGCCTTGGATTGACTCCAGGTGCCAGACCATGGCTGTTTTGCCAAAGTCACCTTTCTCTCAGCCATATGGGCAGCTGATCCCCAGTTCTGTGCCCTATGCCAGCAGGTGAGGCCACTGACACCCCAGAGACAAGGAATCAGGCACTTGTCACTTTTAACTGGTTCTTTAGCTGTATGTCATCACATATATGACATGTGGGAAATTTTCATACCTAATCATTGCCTTAGGCAAAACGATGGGCACAATGCCTATGAAAAAAAACCATTCTACCTCCTATTCACATGATCAGTATATTGCAAGCCTCAAAACACAGTGTGAAACAAGACAGTAAGTAGAAATGTCTTCAAGATCCACAAGGATTAGGAAAAGCATTAGCAATTTAACACTCCTATTGCAAATCCACGGAGCACACCCCAACTCGCATTATCTTAAAGAGATGAGCAGTCAGAAGTAAGCATCTCCTTTGCATTCCTTTCTACTTTATTTTCACAGGTCCTTGAGCTCTGGTCAGGTAGAAGTGGCCTTTGAAGGAAATGTTCTGCTAGTGCTCTAGTGTGTTCACAGATTTCTCACTACCTTTCAGGGATGTGTATGTGGCTTGGAAAGCAAGCCAACAGATACATAACCCACCTGCAAAATGAGTGATAGGGCTAGGACTGTAATAATCAGTCTTGCAGGAGATGCTGATAAAAAAGAGAGCCCCTACGGCTACGGCTTCCTTTTCTCCCTTTAACTCCACCCCCTGTAACTTACCTCTTCTGGTCTGCTCAGCACATGGCCTTCTGGGCCAGTTATTCCCATTTCCAACATCCTGTTTTGCTCCTAGAATGAGAAAAAAAAAAAAAAACAACAACAACAAAAAAAACAATAAATTCTTAGGTGTGCTCAACCAAACTTGGAAAACCTACAGATATGGTACATTATGATCTAAACATGCACTTAAAAGGTAAAAAGAATAAAATATGTACATGCAACCAACATTAATTCTATATTTGGAGCTGCAATATAAGTGTGACTCTCTTTTAGCAAAGGTAAGACAGTTTGTCTGTGGGAACACCTGTTTTTTTGCCTGCGTTACCATCAGAAGTCCTGCTGGGTCGCTCGCTCTCCACCTCTCTCAGACCCTGCTGCCTGTGAAAGCACACTTGCTTAACCTGTTGGTTTGTTCATTTCTGCACTTTAAACCCATTTATTCAACGAACTGTACCGAGTAGCTGCTTCACACTAGGCCTTGTGATAAGAACTTGAATTACAGCGATGTGGCCTATGACCTGTGACCTCAGGGATTTACAGCTTAGCGCAGCATTCCCCAAAGTGTGGTCCAGCCACCACCCACACCACAGTCACCTGAGCTGCTCTTAAAGCGGTGCAGCTTTCTGGTCCTGTCCTCACCTAGCAAATTGGAAGATCTAAGGGTAAAATCTAGTAATCTACATTTCAATTAATCCCTCCGGGTTTTTATGCTGGAAACCTATGGCTTAAATGAATGAATGTGAAGTTTAACCAGATGAAATTATGCCTCACACAGCACTGAGTCAGTGTTTTGGTCAAATTCTCTTTAGCTGAACAGTGGACACTGTAGCTGACCTGCCTGACCCTGGTGGCTGAGCACTGAGTTCCTCAGACTTCTGGCTAGCGTTTCTGAAGAAGCAGGTGGCTGGACACCGAACACGCATGGGGCTAAGTGCCACTGGCAGGAATCCGAAAGCACCACACCTGCAGTTCTGCTGGCATTCTCCCTGAAATTCCTAAAGCTACGTCCAGCAAGCCAGCCCAATGACCTGGGGGTACCCTTGCCTGTGGGAAAGCGGGGAGTGGAGCGAGCTTTGTTTCACTTTACAGCTCTGCGACCTTTAGAAAAATTACCACTTGGAAAAGAAGAGCTTTTGGATGTTGTGTTGTTCACTCCTCAAAATTTCTAAAAGGGAAGTAAAAAGGACAGCATACGTAGGACATGGAAAGTTCCACAGCTTTCTCCAGCAAACTGCCCCTACTTGTCATTCTCACTGTTCTCATTTACTTGGACGTCAATGGAATAAAATTTTTTCCAAACTTCAGTGAGTGTCCACTCTGAAGCACCTTCAGTCATGCAAAGTTTAAGGTTGGTGATAGTAATTTTTTTGTCTTGTATAACACTCACTTCTCTCTTACTCATATATGTACCAGAGAAAAGCTAGCACAAGCAATGAGTAGCACACTTACTAGGGATACATTTTCTTTTTTTTTTTTTTAATGGTGTTAGAGAGGCTGAGAAGATTGAACCCAGGGCCTCTGTACTGAGCTCCTCTCCTCTTACTATTTTTCACTTTGAGACAGTGTCTCCTTAAGTTGCTAAGTTGCCTAAAGTAGAGATCTTAAACTTGAGATCCTCCTGTCTCAGCTTCCTAGAATACTAAGATTACAAGTGTGTGCCACTATACCTGCTGGGATACATCTTAAAAATATACTTTACTGAACTCAGCTACTGAACTACTGAATCAGAATATGTGGAATCAGGAAAATCCAGTGCTTCTAATACACTGCTCTTGGGAAGTTTTATTCTAAAATCCATGGTTTGCTTACAGCTAGAAGATTAAAACTGGCACGTTGCTCATGCATATGTAGATGTGTTATGTACATGTACTGATGACCGATGAACATATCATGTATCCCAAAGATGTACTAATAATTTTTTTTTAATTTGTTAAATGAGTGACTAGAGATGCTGTACCTCACACTTTTTTGTTGACTTGGAAGGCCTGAAAACTGCCCTTGTTTGTATCCAAAGGAAGAGATTTCCTTTTGGCTCTTCAGTCACTTGTGCAGAAATGTAGCAAAAAACTCTAAGTACAGCAGCTGCCTTCATTCAGACAATGTGATAAAATCTTTCTGCTCAAGCTGAATTTAATAAACAGACACAAGAAACCCATCCAAATGGAAAAACGCCCTTATTCTTTTCCTGACAGACAGCAGATCTTCTCGGGCAGGGGACAGCCGGGAGGGAGGGGAACTGAAGAACCCTTCAGAGGGAAGGGGCTCTTCGTTGGAGTCCCCTGGCCTTCAGCATGGAGGCGCAGAGAGCCGGGCTGCGAGGGCAGCTGAAGGGAGGCTGGGACCTCTGGCTGCTGAGCGGAACCCTTGGAGAAGGGGGAAGAGTCACAGCTCTGACACCAGTGGGCGTCTCTCCTGGGAATAGGGCCCTCGGGCCCTCTGTGGAAAGTGATTTCATTATGCCTGGGTGTGTGGGAGATGGGAGAGAAAGCACCATCTGGGGCCTGACTAATTAGACTCCTGGGTCATAAGTAAAAGTGCTCACTTAGTTGACCCCTCTGCATTCAGAGTCTGAGATCACAGTGGCAGGAGGCCTGCACTGCTGGGCACTGTGTCCCCAGCTGCCTGCAGCTGGGCTTCAGGAGGAAGGGACCCCACAAACTCCATATATAAGTCACGGGGCCCACTGAAGCACAAGCCCTTAGAAGCTAAGATCTGGTCTTCCCAGGCATTTGCTGTGATTTTGGGGTGAGAGACATAACCCCTGGGAGCCTTGATGCTCGAATCTATAAAGCAGGGAGGATGATGACATCTTTAAGGGGTGGAAGAAGACTGAATGAGAATATTCCAGAGCACTCGCCAGTGCCTGGCATGCAGTGACAAGTGCTTAACTAATGGTATTTGCCATTAGGAAGCTAATGGGTCTGAGATGAGGGTCAGCCTGTGCATCGCTCCCACACCCCTGCTGACCACTACGTCCTGGGCAGTTTCTGCCATGCAGGCACAGCCCGAGCACTGTGAGCTGTGGGATGCATCTGTTCCTGCTCTCCCCAGAGCCTTGAGCCTGGCAGAAGGTGCTCAGAGTATGTGCAGAGAGAATGAATGCTGGTTCTGCTAGTTCTGCTAGTTCTGCTATCAAATGGACTCAAGACAGCTCCCTCTGCTTTCCTGGCCATCTCCTTCCAGCAGAGGTCAGCGCTGAATGATTGTGAGATAAACAACCCTGCCTAAGACACATCTGTGTGTACATCTCTTCCATTAGGCAACCCAGGAGATGGAGAGGGAACTGCTTTCTGCTGCCTTGCAAATGATCACTTTGGGCCTTGGGGCCCTTGCTTTCATCACTCTGTCCTCATGTTTCTCAATATGATTTCTAGGAAGCCGGTCTGATCCCCACAAGACCTAAGTTCTTTATCATCTGAGGCTGTGACTTCTGCAGATGTGGATCAGATTTCTGACTTCTGAGAAACACTGCCTTAGGGTTTTTCTCCAGGACAGAGCATATCACGTAGCTTTGACTCATTTTCAGAGAGGGTGAGCCCTGCTGTCCCACTAACGGGCCCAGTGTGGAAGCTTCCTCCTCCAGCACACCGCTTCTGGTCTCCGGGACGGCCAGACCTCTTCCTGTGAACAGCACCTTATAGCTTCTCCTTGCTCATCTCCACTTCCTCTTCTTTTTTCCCTCTATGTAGACTGAGGGGTTCTTTAGGGCCAGTTCTGATTTAACAAAGCACCTTGAGGGACTCTTGCACACGCCGAGAGCTCAAGCAGCCATGAAGAAATGAGAACACCAATGGGTTGCAGACCCACGCACCCATAGAAAGCACATGCAGGGGGCTAGCTGGTGTTACCTGGGCAATGATGTCCCCATTCTCAGCATGAACTTGAGCAATGGCCCCTAGTTCTCCTAGGCAGGTGAAGATCTCATAGAGCTGAAATAGAAAGGAATTTGTGTCACCTTCTCAGCCACTTTTAGCCACTTCACTTGAAGGCCAATTACTAAAGCTAGAGCTAAAACAAATGGAATGAACAGGGAGAAATCTGTGACGAGAGCAGAAATATAGACTAAAATATCCATAACGTAAGAGGAGTGTAGCCCAAAGGAACTCTGGGTGATTTGTCCACTTGGAGATCCTGGCATAACTCCCAGACAAAAAGGACCAGAATCTAATGAAGTGCTGGTGAGCGCCTCCTCTGGGTCATGAACATATTCTTAATGAATCATTTCCCACTGAGCTTAGACACAGCTTCAGAATCATTTGGAACAAGTGTTCCGGAAAGCCAGTACAGACGATCAAAACTAACACAAAGGCTAAAACCCTATGTTTGAATCAACCTTCATCTCCTAAGCATGAGACAGAAGAATTAATTTCTTGTATTTCCTCTGCTAATTTGAGGTTTGTCTAAAAGAGACACATGCCATGACTTTCTAGGGAGAGTCACGGGCAAGCAGGAACAATTATTCCAAGAAGCAGCAGGTCCTCCCAATTCGATAAAGCAGAGAATCCTGCACTTTCTCCCAGATGAAGATTTCGGCTTGCCCTTCGTTTTATCCTTTGAGAAAGCTGCTACTAGTGGAGATTCTAGCTCCCTGTCTGCCTGGCCCTTGGCACCCTGCCCGTTGCCTTACTTATAAAACCACGTGGACGGCAAAGGCTTCAAGAAGTGCTCTGACCCAGTGGTCTCCCACACTGACAAACGACTCATGTTGCAAGGGCAAAGATGTTCAGCAATGAGGAAACCCATCAGAGACCCAAAACCTTGTGGCATAGGGGCTGTTACCTCTGTGTTGGACACTTGGTACAAATCCTTGTAGGCCATGTAAACCATGAAGGAGTTAACCCCTGCAAGACAGAGAAGAGAAGAAAAACAGGAGAAAGACAACATTATCGTGACCACCTTCTCTTCCTAGCTCCACTCTTACTACCCATGGGGCCTGAGCGCATTACTCAGTGCCTATCCGGTGTAAAGCACAGCCTTCAAATTCTCCAAGAACATTTTACCATGTGGATCCCTACCCCAGAAAATCAATCATTCCTAAGTGATGTCACTGCAGAGGGTCCCTTATTCTGTACTTATTTCTCACTTCCCCTATTGTGGTTTATATCCAGATGTCCCCCTAATGCCTCATGCACTCAAAGGCAGGGCTTTGAAAGAGTGACTGAAAACTGGGGTCACTACCGCTAAATTCGAGGTTAGGAACAGGGTCTGCTCAGAAGAGGTTGGCCCCTGGGGGCTTGAGCTGGTAGGACGAGTCTCTCTGCCAGGTTCTTCCCTTTATACTCTGCCTTCTGGCTGCCACCACGCCATGACCAGCTTTCCTCCACCACACTTCTGAGCATGCAGAGGACTGCAACTTGGAAAGTGATGTGAGATAAACCTCTCCTCAAGTTACAGGTATGAGGCACGAGGTCTCCGATGGGAGACAGTGACTTAGATGCTCTCTCCAGCTTTCCAGCCCAGAAGCTCGCTACATCTGGATACTGCTGGAGGCAGCAGCCAGCATCGAGAACCACTCTGGCCCTAGCTGTGTTCACACTCTGGGGCTGCACGATCGTAGTCCTGCATGTAGCGAGTGAGCTTGGAATAGGTATCTCCCTGGGTCTTGTTTTCCTCACCTGTAGAACAGAAAAATAACGCCCTCCATCACAAGGTGGTGTGGAGGCAGTAACACACTCAAGGACAGCTCGCAGGACCCAGCACGGCAGTTACGCTGTTTCCATTAAAGGATTCGTGGGATGAAGCTGTGTTACTGTGTGCTGAAAGCCTGCTCTATACTAGGACGGAACAGGGGGTGAAAAACATAAAACTAAGCTCTCCAAAAGCTGCTCCGAAATTCTGGCAGGTACTGACGTGCTTTCTCTCACTGAATTTGTACTTCTGAGTGCATGTTATTTTCTGTAAATAAACTAAATGTCCCTCCATTCTCTGCATTTTGTTTAAAGACTAAAGTCCAATCTGATTTGTTAACCTAGAAATATTCCTTGTGATTTGCATAAGAAAAGGGTTTTGTCTCTAAATGCAATCTTAAGAATGGTTCTTCAATTTAAATAAATTCATGTGAATTTCAAGTATTTTTTAAAAAAATGTGGCCCTTGACCTTGGAGAACTAACAGAGCTAATGTGGGCAGAGAGTAAGTTCTGCCTCTGCTCAAAGACCTCAGTTGCTGGGATTATAAGGAAAATTAGATTTTCACCCAAAATAAATAGGTGCGTCTGGGGACCAAGGAATCATTTTGAGGAAAGAAAGACCATTTTGATCTCCTACCATTAGGCCATCTCAACCCACAGTGTTCCTAGCCAAAAGCAGATTATAGCTTGAGATTGGCTCTACCCAGAATGGGTTGGCTCAGGGCAGCTCTGCCCAGGTCACTCTTCCCAAAAGCTTTCCTGTTATGCGTGGAATGACTCAGCCCTCTGTAGTTGTTAAGCCATTCAATTTTCTACTTCAGTTGAGAAGCTCAGTGTAAAAGAAGGTACAGCAAGAAAAGAGGGAGCTAATCTTATATTTTGTGTCACCAAGAATTGGATAGGACTTGTGGGGAGATAAAATTTACCCTCTGATGATTCATCCTTTCCCTCCATCCCAGGGGGAAGTTCTTCTGCAGAACTCCTAGCATGGGAGTCTGGACTCCTAATATGATGACAGTTCTTGCGTTTCGTGGCATTTATTCTATTGTTCTTCATGGAACTGGATGCCCAGCGGAGATCACGAATTAACCATGTTCCATGATGCTGTGTGTGTGTGTGTTAAATGTCTACTGATCAAAACACAGAAAGAAGTAGAGAACAGGATAATCTAAGAAAAAAATAGGCTTAAAACATGTACTCTTGACAGGAAATTCCCTTACCCCCTTAAGCCTGGGTAGACACAGGAAGAGGAATGTACTTGCATGCCCTAAGCTTCTAGTCTGAGTAGCAACACATCTTTGCTCCTGGAAATGTGTTAGATTTTTCTGAGGATGTCAGTGCTACATAAGAGCAATGGTCTGCTCTTTGTGGTAAAAATGATAGAACTTTGAAATTCCTAATCTCATATTTGCTGTCCAGGTGACCTTGTACAGGATACATCAGCCTCTCCTAACCTCAGTGTCTTCCTCTACAAAATGGGCCAGACCGGATAGAAGCAAGGAAGATCCCCTTTGGGTAGGTCCACTCCTTACTAATTCTGCCATCTTGGGCAGTCAGTCTGACCCTCAGCTTCACCAGCTGCAAAGTGCGAGTAGCAATCTTTAGCTCAAAAGGATCCTGGAAGAGGTAAGTAACACTCCATCAAGTGCCTGGTACAAAGTGGAACACCTGCATCGAGCTCTCAAGCTTAATGCTGTAGACTCCAAGTAAGACTGGAATGAACTGACAGTGTAAGAAGAACAGGCAAGGAGATGCAAAGGAAGAGGGAGGAGGGTGTGCATGCTCAGGTCACCTTTGTCCTTGATGAGGCTCTGCACTTCCTGCTTGACGCTGTCGTTCCAGTGGGTGATGTCCACGTGCAAGGCATAGTCACAGCAGCTCTTCCCATCGGCCCACTCACGCCACTTCTCATAGGCCTCGGTCAGGCTGGACTCAGGCTCAGGCACCACATGATCAACTGAGTGACAGAAGCCCTGATGGGTGACTCAGACATGGTTTTTCTCCCCCTTCCCAGGCCAGCTCCTGCAAGCTTAGCTATAACAGCACAAGCCCTACTTCCTAAGCTTGAAATGAAGCTAGAAAATGTTCCCTAGTAGCTATGAGGATGCTGATGATTTAAATGATTTTTTGTGATGAGATCTGGGAAAAATAACTAGCTTCTCTAAACTTCAGTTTTTTTCTCCTTAAAACAGGTGCCATGTAGGGTGGACAACTGTAATGGTGTTTTCCTTAGAGTATGTTATACAGTTTAATAAGAGAATCCATGTAAAGTGCTCCACATTATGGCTGGCATATAGTATGTACTCAATAAATGCTGACCATTAATAACTGCTTGCTTATCACACATTGTCATTACCAGGGCTGTGTCACTGCCAGTGGTAAAAGCTGGACCTTCTTCCCAGGCAGAAGGGTGGGTTTTAAAGTTATGCCAAGCACAAGAAATGGGAGGCCTTCCTGCTCATTGATGAACAAAGAACTCTCATCCGTTATGTAAATCCAGCAGTATGGCCACAGGTCTCATTTCCCTGTGACATTTCTGGCAAGCATCCAGTCAGTGTCTTTGAGCTCAGAACTACTCTTTCTCCTGCATGTGTGGATAATTTTGTTTTTAAAATAATCACCTCTACAGCTGTGAGGATAACACAAAAGCTACCCTCTCATAGTTTCCCCCGAGCCTGCTAAGACAAAGTGTGAAATGGTACAACTTTCCTGAGAATAACTTTGAAATGTACATAAGAACTCTGAGTATTTTTCATACCTTAATAGTCACTTCCATGCCTAAGAATTATGCCCAGGAAAAGAGATGTGGACAGATGCAAAATCTTGATTTTAAGGATATATGCTACCATATTTATGTAAGTGAAAAATCAGAAAGAACTGGAATCTTTACACTAGGGAAGTCTGGTTAACTACGTAAATCATGATGCCTTCATAAAGTGATGACCCATCTGAAATGTGGTGATAGAGTAAACATAAATGAGTGGAAAGATATTTGTGACATGTAATTGAGTGAAAATGACAGGATATTACAGTACTGTACAAATACTGGGGTCCTATTTTTGTTAAATGGGAAAAATATGTGCAAAGTATACAGCCAACCCTAACAGTGACGTGGGCTTACAAGGTTTCTTTTCTTTTTGCACATCTGGGATTTCTAAGTTAACTGTGAAAAACATGAATGCTCTGTGGGTCCTGGTATGCTTTCCCCTTATCACCTGGCTGTCCGGCTTTCCTCCTGCTCCTTCCCTAATGCAGAAGACCAAGCATAACATGCATCCCAAGGATGCTGCTCGGGCCCAATTTCTTGCTCTGGCTGCAGACACCTGGCCAAGATCACATGTTTCCTCAACCTTCTATCAAAGGCAGCCCCAGTGCACTCATCAGACAGCAAATGATTGTAGCTACGTTATTAATGTCTGGAGCAACACTAGGGCTTTCCTGGGCAGGCAGTTGCTGAGAAGTCAGCTGGCTTCCTTCCTTCAGCTGGGGAAAAGCTTTGGTCTCCCTGGATTGCACCTTTTATGGCCCTGATGCAATTTTTCTCAGCTTCCACACCCCACTAGCTAAGCTGAACCCTTCCAGGGCCCCTGCTGAAAGGCATTCAAGACAGTGGGTTATTCTACAGCTCAGGCTGTCCCGTGCTCGTGGGTGGATGTGTATGATGTTAAAATAAACAGTACTCCGGCTGACCACATTTGGGCTCAGCACTGAGACGGGACCCAATTCACTGAGATTCCTTTGGGACAGGAAGGACCACCCTGGCACGCCATCAGTTCAGGAATCCAGTGGCATACAACTCCCTAGATTTCTCTGGAATTCCAACTTACCAGAAATGAAACTGAAGAAAATCAGAACAATAAAAAAATAAAAAAAGGGAACCACTCTCACGGTTTATCCAATCTCAAAGGTACAAAACTGGTCAAATAGCACTAAATTCAGTGAAGCCCACTAATTTCCCAAGAACTGTAAGTCCCTGTCATCATTTCTGCAACTTTTCATTCCCCTGGCTGTTTTCACACTTGCTCACTTCAGGAATCTCCTCTGGGCAGTTATAGCGAGCTGCCCATTCCCCCAGAGCAGCCTGCTTTTCTCAGGTCCCGTCAGCTAGAGAATCCACAAAGCGATTTTAGAGGAGTGTACAAGATATCAACGGAGGGCACTGTGTTTAGCTGGTTTGCTGATGACATGCCTCTGGGCATCAAGAATGTAAAATCTGAGGTCTTACTGATCATAGTGGTGCCACCTGCTAAGGCAGCCTTTGTCCCTTGAAAGAAGTCATCCACTGTGGTCATCCCCTTGTAGGGCATCTGAAAGTGAGTATGGACATCGATGCCTCCAGGGATCACCATCTTCCCATTGGCTTCGATGGTCTTCACTCCTCCGGGGACAATCAGATTGTCTCCAATTTGCCTGGAAAGACAACGAGACAACTGGCAACTTTAAAAAGCCATTCTCAAGACAAGGATAGTATCATAAGGACTTGAGACATCTTAATACACCTGTTAAAGTAGTCTGAAGTGACTCACAAGTCTAGGAATTTTAAAACAAAGATAGATATATGTGTTTTTGTTGATACAAAATGATTTGATAGGGCATTATGAAGACACGTGTTTGTTTTGACACAACAATAACTTGTATGGGACTATGTGTCCTAGTTTTATACCGTAACCCCAGAGGTTTGATAGTATCAGGAATATAGTGTATGTGGGTATTTTTTTTAAAAAAAGTGTTTTAATTATTCCCTTCATTTTGTTCAACACTTATGTTGAAGGTGAGGAGTAACATTGGGAAAGGCACTAAAGAGTATAAAATAATGGATTGTTCAGAGAGAGAAGAAAATATGGAGTCACTGCAAGAACAGATGTGGGAATTTAGTAGTTATCCAGTAAGCAGGCCCAATGTGCTTCTAAGAAAAGACTCTGCCTGATCTCTTTCTACCCTAGTCTTCACACCTAACTCTGTCTTTCTTAATGATTTATCATCAACCACAGCTCACAGCAGATTCATAAGGGGTAAAGTCAAAGATGTAGATGCCCCTGGCACCATCTGAGTCAGGGACTCAGGAGAAACTTCAAGCTAAGGAAGGAGACTGTGACAACACCGCTGAGACACAGCATGGCCCAGGAAGCCCCAGAGCATCCCAGGGAGAAGTGGGGCAGACTCAGGAGGAAGCAAGCCAATAGGTACACGTCACAAGGAATGTGAAAAGTGCTGCTACTTCCTACACAATGTGATTTATAGATCAGCCAGCATTGCTCAGGTTTTAATGTGATTTTACATCCTTGATTTAAATAGCTGTTTAAACCTGTCCATGTAGATTTCTGATACACGTAGGATCCGCAGCTACCACATTATCCTTTAACATTTCCTATGTTGGTTACACAGGTGCTCTACTGCTAATGGCACGAATATTTCCCCTTCTGTACACAGCCAGCCAGAAAGGTTCTCTCTTGGTGTGATAAGAAGCCTACCATGGGCCTGTCAAACTCTGAGTTCTGCAACTGCAGTATTTCTGACATCTCTGAGAGTTTAACTTCACCACATCACCACGGGGCCATTCCAGGGCCACCATAATTCAAAACACACTGTGGAAAAATGCAGCCTCTGGCCCTAACGCTAGTCCAGACAGGGGCCTATTCTGTTCCCATTTTTCTTCCTTGCTGGTTTTTCCCCTGAGAGAAACTGAGAACCAAGTCCATGAAGAATTGCCTGGTTTTTGTGTTTTCATGTGTGTTTTCACTTGTTTTGACAATTAGCATAACATCAAGTAGGAAACAGAAATGCCTCCCCTTTTTTCAATTACTGAAGGCTCAAATTTCATCTCCTCTCCTTCATCAAGTTCTACTGACATCTGAGTCTAACAAGAATAAGAGGGTGGCTGTGTTGTCAGATCCACAATCTTGGGTCTGCCAGCTACAAGCTGTATGACCATGGTCAAGTTACTGAACCTCACCCTGCCTCAATTCTTGCATCTGTAAAATGCAATAAATGCCACCTCTGTAGAGCTGTATAGATTAAGTTTATTATCTGGTAAGATCAAACAATAGTGTTAGGCATATCAGGGTTCAATAAACATCAGCTGCTCTACTTAAGCATCAGCCCTTTCTGTCCTCTGAATTTCATCTGTTCTACTAATGCTTGCTATTCACTGATAATATTTGATCCTCCACATATATATAGATATCTCTGTTCTCCTAAAAGACTGTAAGGTCCGTGGGAGAAGAAAGCATGTTCATTTGGGGCCAATGATATCTACTGTAGTATGAGACATAGAGGTGTCCAGAGCCTCAGACCAACTGCCTTGCCCATAGAAAGTCCTCCGGGCATGTAGCTATGCAACGACTGAGGAAATTAGTTCTGTGCTTATACCCTGTGAGTTAGGATGTTGTAGGAGATACACGACATTTCTGGATTAGATGAAGCCCAAGTTTATCCAGCCTTTTCTACACTACAAGCACAAACATCTAACAAGCGATGGCTAAATTTCTTCTACACTATCCCTGACAATAGCTTCCCATTCCTTCTAACAAACCTGGCAAAAAGGATTCATCTTATATATTTACCTCTCCTACCAGATGCGTGAAGCACAGCATGAAGACAGACTCTAACCCTGATTTAAGGCTCAATCGCAAAAGAGTTACGTGATCAGTTAGTGATGACTCCCGTGTGATCTGAAATAATGAGGAAGCATCAGGCACCAACTCAGTCCACTTCTGCAAGCCTCTGAGGAAGAAAACTTATACCTCCAACAACACGTAATAATTTCAGTAATAGAAAAATATACAATCAATTGTGGCTTACATATTGAATTCATTATTATACTTTTTGGTTTCCTATTAGTTCTACCTTTCCTGCTTCTAACAGGAAAAGTAATGATATAACTTTGGTGAGCCACTAGGAAGGGATATCTTCACTCTTGCATTTGTGCACTCAACTATTTGTTCAGTTACTCACTTATTCAATGTATTTGACAAATATGCTGATCTTTAACAAGTTATTTACTCTATGTGCCTCCTGCTCATCTGAGAAAAGAAGATAACAATACTTCCTAGAATTGCTGGCAGACTAAAGGAAAGGAGACGTGTAAAACATTTAACACAGTGATTGACCTCTTGCACATGCAATAAAAGGTAGCTGGGTGCTAATAATTACAGGCTAAGTGCTGGGGATATGGCGATGGACTAGATATAACCCTTGATCTCCAGGAAGCCTAGCTATGACCGATGAACGCATAAGATGTTTGAGAACTGCTATGACTGATGAATGCACAAAAGTTTGAGGACACGGAAAGGGAAGTGAGCTTAGACTTGGGACCTGGTAGAAAATTATACCTGAGCCAGATTTTCAAAGGTAATTAAGAGATCTCTTATAACTAGGATCTTAAACTAGCCAATGATGTTGAATAATATAAAAATAGAACTGAGTGTGGTCAGAAGTCGTTAAGAAGATGGGTGGGATACTCTCATCTTATAACATCCTACCATGTAGTGGTATACTTTACTGCATATGATCAAGTTCTATTTTGAAGTTCACTATGTAAGGAACTTACACATAATTAACTGGCCCCACTTCTTTTAGGCATCTAACGGCAAGCCATGTAATAAAAGAAACTACAATATGCGTCCTTCAGGAACCTATTTAAAAATCATGTCTGAAATGCAAGTAGTGCCTGTGCCTGCCCCTTTCAGTTTTACTCTTTTATCCTGGTTCTGTTTAAATAGTCTAGTGACACCAAAACTTTCCCTGCACAGGGTTTCTTTCTGTGTGTTTCCAAATCACGTATTCTGATTTCAACTTCTTTGACACTTCTTACAAAGGCCTTGATGATGGAGACCACCACGAAGCAGCCCTGAGCAGGACTTAAACTAATGAATTGGCTTTTCACGTTTACTTGTGAGTTTGTCCAAGGCCTAGGCTCCTTGTCTGGAGATGGGCAGTGGACTCGTAGTAGGTGAACCTCTGTGAGCCACTAATCCCTACTAAGGCCTGTAGTGGAGGATGAAGCTGGAAAGCCTCAAAGGATAAGACAAGATCAGAGCCAAGGACACCTGGATCCAACTTCAACTAGATAAAGACTGTAGTCTCAGGCATCTCACTCCTCAGTGGATTAGCTTAATACCTTACTTAGAGAAGTCCTTGAGTGGTTCTGTCCTTCTGAAGGACTCCCTTCCCTTCTTCTAATAACTAAAGAAATATAGGCCACCAGGGAAGGTCTTGGTCTTAGCCCTGAGAGAATTTCGAATTCTGTGAGAGGGCTTTGATCCTCCTTGAGCCCTGAAATCATTCCATTTGCCTATTTTTATTTAGCTTTCACTGTACATTCATTTGGGAGATTGGGACCTGATCAGCCCACGGTAACTAAGGGATACTATTAGCCCTATACTTGTTATTTTTAGGATAGTGTAATTTGTGTACATTTCCCAGTATCCATAAGGACAGTGGTCACATCTTCCACCTTTCCATGACCTGCTGAGTGCCTATCAAGACAACTTGCACAAAGAGGCCCTCAGAATTGTTCTGTTCATCAAATTCAGATTTTTCACTTCATACATGCAATCAAAGGTTCTGTCTAGGCCTTCACTGAAAACAACAAGTACAAAAATAAAAAGAAAGGTTCTATATACATACTTTATTAAGCCATCTTCCATGTAAATGTCAGCATAAAAGGACTGATCATCATTGACGATTCTGCCTCCCTTGATAAGGAGACGGTCACTCTAGAAAAGAAGGAAAATATGAGTTATTGTCTGAACCAGGATTCAGAGAAGAGTGGTTTGCTAAGGTTTACTCAATTTACTGCTCTAGTCACAGGCTTTTAAAAACACCTATAATAACATGAAGTCATGCTCACTGCATGTTATATTTAAAACTCAGCATACTTACATATGTGTCCACATACACATACACAACTGTGAGAGTATAAAAAAATCGCTAAGTGGAAAGAAGACGAAATACAGCATTCACCTCAGGGGTGATGAAATTATGCAGCATTTATATTTGCTTTATATACTCAGAATCTCTCACATTTTTAGTGGATTTCTTTATTGCTTTAAACATGAGAGATGCAAAATTTGGATATGTGATTCAACTGGAAACAATGAAAATAACTCTAAGGTTATTATTAGCAAAATAAATACATACTTTCTGTGTAAGTCAGGAGATCACAGATCCCATCAAGTGAACAGAGCCTAGACTGAGGTCTGAGCTTTTGACTGGATGGATACAGACAGCTTTGTTTGACCACAGAGGAGCCTGGCTGAGGGGAACTATGGCATGAATAAAAAACGGTAGGCTGGATTTTGTGAAGAACTCAACTTAGAGACTTCAATGTCATCCATTTGTCGATCTACCCATCCATCCATCCATCCACCTATCCACCCATCCATCATCCATCATCCATCCATCCATCCATCCATCTATCTACCCATCTATCCATCCATCCACCCATCCATCCAACCATCCATCCATCCTTCCTTCCTTCCATCCATCCATCCATCCATCCACCCACCCATCCACCCATCCATCCAACCATCCATTAATCCATTTGTCAATCAACCACACACTGATTAACCAAGCAATTATTTAATTTTTATCATTAGGTAGGAAGAGTATAGTTGTGAACAAGACCTACTAAGTCATGAAACGAGAGTAGTTTAGCATCTACTATAGTAGTTTAGCAATAGATAAAGCCAACAAAACGCAGCAATGTAACATCGCATTAAGTGTCACACAATACAAGAGTAGGGCTTTTGTTTAAATAGAGGCTGTAAAAAGTCTTTCCATGGAGGAACCATTGAGATGAAGGTGGGGATGGGGCACTTCCTTAGGCAGAAGGAATACATGAGTCTGAATGAAAATACAACGAGAGGCAGAATGACAGCATGCTGAGGAGTGAAGACTTGTGTAGAAAAGGCAGCTGTGGGTCGAAGTGCTCAAGGCCAGCACTCACTGTGCTGCTGCTCACTAAGGGTGAGGGATAGAGGAGTCAAGGGCAGGAGGGCTTCCTTCCCTTCCTAACAATCCAGCATCCCCATTCTTTGGACGCTTGCTCCCTGGCTCCTGTGTGAGAATACAGCTTTCAAGGAGGATACAGCTTTAGGGAGGAGGCAGTTCACAGACAGGTAACTTCTGGCTTCAGGTGGAAGTGGGAGCACACAGGCAGAGAATGAGATGTGGAGGCCCCCATCTGAGACAGACAATTATCGGTTAGTTTCTCTTGCTTCCAAGGTGCTGCATGAAAACAGGAAATTTCATCATGTCCTATTGCTGGGGCAGAGGATTTATAAAAGATACAGACCAATGAGGGGTCCAGAAAAACCCTACATAGGTAGCAAGGAAGGTGAGGAAACAAAGTCAAATATAAACTCCCACCACACATGCTTCACAGGCATGTTCATGGGCTATAAGTATTTACTATTATTGCTGTTATTTGTTTTCATTACACAGAGTAAAAACACTAAACCTGAACCCATAACAAAAGCATGCTTCCCCAGGGGGTCCTCAGCCTACTCTCTATCCTTCCATCCTAAAGTTCCACATGATTAATTTCAACCCTTTCCCTGCACGGGAAAATCCACTACAAAGGACAGCCTAGGCAGACCGGCCCTTAGACACAGCAGAGTCTGAACAACAACTCTGGATCTCAGCACTGAGGAATGTGAGGCTTGGGGATGACAGTGCTGCTGACCAGCCCCAGGCAACAGAAAGCCAAACATCACTGGATTCAAAGCATGGTTGTGCATGAACCCATGGACAAAACTCAAAGATGAACACAAGTTAGCATCAACACCAACAAGACGCGTAAACCCAGCACAGTGATACAATGTCACCTTCAATCATTAACATGCCTTCTTAGGGCTCTTTATTTTCTGTTTCTGGCAACTAAGGCTGTCAAGCACCCATAGTCCAGCTCAGAGCTTTCTAGTCGTTCCCACGTAATGCAATACATGAAGAATGATGCTATTTCTAGAGCATGATGGGGTAACCTGTACTTTTGTGTGTGTGTGTGTGTGTGTGTGTGTTATTGTTTTTTTGAGACAGGATCTCACGTAGCTCAGACTAGTCTTGAACTTACTATGTAGTCCAGGGTGGCTTTGAACTCACAGAGATTCTCCTGCTTCAGCCTCCCAAGTGCTGGGATTACAGGCATGCAGTACCAGGCCTGACTAGTGCTTGGTAATCTCGATGGTGTAAGAACCCAAAATGAAGCTATTCACACCCTGCAACAAGCAGGAAGCTCTGCCTTAGACCCTCATAGCTATCAAGGGCTGGGTGCCAAACCCTCATACAGTACAGCAGGATGCCAGCCCAACAGCTGGCAAGCATGGGTCCAGCTGTACCCTACCACTGGGAGAAGAGACAGAACACTTAACTAGACTGCGACCTTCAGTTAGGACTCGACCTCTCAGAGCCTCAGTGTTTTCACTAGCCCAAAGTAGACAATAACATCTAGCTTATCTCTCTCAAGGTGGCTGCAAAGAATGAGGATGTGTGTGTGTGTGTGACAGACAAAGAGAGAGAAACAGAGACAGGGAGAGAGACAGAGAGACAGAGATACCTAGAGAAACACCAAGTATAATAAACCTAATAAATATCTGACATATTTATTTCATTAACATTATTTATAGTATGTTACATTAATTTAAAAGCCTTGAGTATGTTGGAGAAATACTGTTATATCTGTTTTCCAAGTAGGAAGATGTACACATAGAGGTACCTTACTCTAGCTGACAGAGTGAATAAGTCCCACCAAGGAAATCCAGGGCACTGACTTCCTCCAGGCCTCCGCTCCAAGGATAATTACATCTTAGGACACGGGGTCTTTCTGACAGAATTCTCTTTCCTGTTTGATACTGAATCTGACTGTTCTAGTGTTTAAACTGCTGATCAGTTCTCTGCTGCAGATAACTTTAAGATTCCATTAACTTATAGCCACTGCTCATAAAATAAGTGCATTAAGTCTGCCCCTTATGGCCTGAATGTGTTAATGCAATTTATAAAGGGACAATTAGGCAGTACAGGGTAGCAAGGTTCCTTAAAGTGTGAGAAAAAGGTCTGTTTTTTTCCCTTCTAGGGTATAATAATGATTAGGTAAGTTAAAAATTTGAGTTTCTAAGAGAACAGTGGAAGAAAAGGAAGGAAGGAAGGAAGGAAGGAAGGAAGGAAGGAAGGAAGGAAGGAAGGAGGGAGGGAAGGAAGGAAGGAAGGAGGAATGGAGGGAGGAAGGAGGGAGGAATGGAGGGAGGAAGGGAGGGAGGAAGTCATTGATGTGTTACAAATGATTATGAGCGATTCAAACCAGCATAGGGAATGAAAGAGTCTCAAACCAAAGCTATTGTATATATTTCTTTCTCTAAGTCTTCAATGCAAATAATATAAATGAAAGTTTCCCTACACCAAATAGACACCCCACAAACTGTTACTTCTGTAGATCCGAGGTAATGAGACTTTGCCTCTTGGGGAAATCGGAGCCCTTCACAGACCTTTTCCCTCTCAATCAAATCAGCCTGAAGCCTCAATCAAATCAGCGCTTAAGATACACCTGCTCTGTAGTCTGCAGCCATCCTAGCAGTTCATAAAAAGCTACAGTCCTATGAAGAGAAAAAGAGGATATGAAATGGAGAATGGATCTCTAAAAATCAAATATTTTGTTACCTGTATTCAAATCACAAAGCAGAGACTTTTGACTCTCAGTGGGGGTTCAGGATTCTCTTTAAATCCAGATGAGGAGACGAGGACACAGCTGGTTATTTTAAATGAATTCCCATCTGGGCAATTAGATTTGACTTCTTAAAAACACTCTTACTCTTCCTATTTTAACACGGACAGGCTACACTGATGAAATCTTGTTGATTTTCTTCCCCAACCAACATCATTTAAAGAAGAGATAAAAAACCAGTCTTCCTCAGACAGTCCAGTTGACCCAGAGTGGTACTCAGAAAAAGGTATTGACCAAGCTCTTAAAAAACCAGAGTTCTCATCCTGGGTCTACTATTAAATATGCAAGTCTGGGTGAGACACAGACAGGAGTGTCAATTCTAGCTATAACACTTAGTTGGGACAAATAATTTCACCTCTCTGAGCTTCAGTTTCCTCACCCATGAAATGAGGACAATTCTATGTTGCTCTTAGGGTGCTGGCAAGGGTTATGGAGTATATTATATGCCAAGGGTTGAACCCTGGTTGGCACACCGTAAATGCTGTGTGTGTGAGCTGCCGTCATTATGATCATTCCTTACAATCAAAATGCACTACTGTAAAGCTCTTCTCTTACAAATAAAAACTGAACCAGCACTTGTTAATCAAAATAAAACAGATCTTACTATAAAGGAAATTCCAGAGATGGTCCCCAGCCAGGCCTCAGCAACTGTTCTACATGCCTGCCACCTGCAGCCAAGGTCAGCCAAGACTTCTACTTTGAAACACACCTGCACAGTACAAGTTTCCATGGCTCTTCCAGGTCATGCATCTTCTGCAAATAAACCCAGGTAAAAAGATAACTACTACCCTCTTCCAGCAGGAATGGAAAGTGGTCTAGAAAGTAGTCCTATACGCACCCTTTCTACTTAGCAAATGGATCTGTTTCTAGGACCCTCCGTGATAAGGATGTCTTTGAGAGAAAGGTCTGGGAGAAGCCAGATGCTCAGGAGCAGTCCAGCTTTTCAGCTCAGACTCTTTACTTAAACTGAGCAGGACTGGGTCTTCCACAGCTCAGAAC